ACCGTCGTTCCTGAGCTAATTATTATGACACTTATGAGAAAGGAGGGGGTGGCCCATTTTATGCCGAGACCACAGGGCATTACTTTAATGTAAAATGATATTAATATAAAATGTTTATGAGAGATTTTGTTGCACGAACGACCACCATACTGCCTTTTACTGTCACGAAGCAGTAATGCGCGCGTTATAGTGTCATTTAGCTATTGCAATCTTTGATAGGTTATTTCTCAGATCACCTCAAACAAGGATCTCATAGATGATAGTACTTACATTCTGTTTTTTTTTTTGTTATATCTATTGCGTTAAAAAGAGGGGAGGGGGGCGAACAAGAGAATTATTTAAAAAGTGTGAAAAGTGAGAACTCAGCCTATCTTACTTAATTGTAAGAGATTTTGTTTCATCACCAACGCTAATACGAGTAGCTAGTAAGAACTACTAGAGAGGGTGTCGCCTTCTGGTGTCGAGAGTTCCTTAAGCATTACTGTTGACATAGCTTATTCAACGACGGCTTTACATGTTCTTCAAAGCTTCTTCGAGCATGAATTAAAAACTATAAGAGGTTTAAGTTGAGATTCTAACTTAAGGATCCTTAGACATTATCCAACTGAATTGACATCACTGCACATTATAAGGCGACATAATTGAAGACGCCAAAACAGTTATGTCAAACCCTGGTCTATAGACGATGGATACCACTTCCCAATAGACCTAAGATTCCGCCAAGTGACAGTGAACAGTTCCGATCGTGTCGGAGGCTGGCGAGACCGCCGACACACGCACCGACGTGGTGCCTACAGCGTAGCCTCCCTGTTCGCGCGATCGATAACAGATGAACTTGCTAGTAGTTTTCCATCGCCCTACTCAGCGAGTTCGCATCGAGCACCCAGATAACTTTGGACAAAAATGGAAAATTACCAACAGTCAAGCATCCATGCTTATTGATAATCTGAATTCAATTACTTTTTTTTTTATTTATTTATATATATATATATATTAAAGAAACACCAACAGCATATTGCATTATAACATATATAACAAACATTACTATAATACAATATTAATGCACACGCCTATTATAGGTATTCACAGCATTCACTTTAACATAGTTATACAGCGCGAGAAAATGAAGTAACAATTATAATGAATTAAATAACACTAGACTACAAATATTTTAAAAGTTGCATTATTAGTTATAGAAATAAACATGTAACCTAAGTTGTGAGCAATATTAGAAAATACGATTATAAGTGAATTCAATTAATAAATATTAATATATATATATATATATATATATTATAATTAGAGTTACTTTTTATTAGATTATTGTACAAAGTATTTCAGCAATTTATTCCTGTAGGAATTCGAACTATCATGCACTATATCAATTTCAGGTAATTTGGCATTAACTTCATTGTTTGACGCACTAATCCTGGTAAAAAGTACTTCTTCTCAATTATTACGATAATTAAATGAATTAATCACAAAATATATTCGTAGGTATACACATAGATAATAATCTGTAACTGGGAATTTTACAGTTTCATTATTATTCTTCATGTAATTTAAGATTTGGACAAAACTTCTATGAGATCAACCTGTAAATCTCTTTTCTTCAGGACAAACGAGTTAATAGAGAGATGGACATCCTGTCCATCTTTGTTATTTGACTTATATTAACTATCTTTGTCCTTTCAAATGAAAAAAGAATTTTCCAAATCGGTTTACAACTGACGGAGTTATGAGGTGACAAAAACATAAAAAAAAAACAAATTGAGGATCTACTTTATTTGAAGGCTGTTGATTACATATTTACTTTAATCGTGTCAAAATCTGTATAGGATAAACACGGAAATAAACCCTATTGATTGTACCGAGCGAATTAACCAACCATACGATCCGTCTGAAGGTATACCGTCGTCCTTCTTTGTTGCCGACCCTTGTGGCAAGATCTGCAGTCACTGCTGTAGTATATTATGTTCACGTACTGGCCACTAATAATTTCGTAAATACTGGCCGGTGACAATTTGTTCTATTTATTCTTTCAATGAATAAATTAGTGTTTAACCAACTCGCTTGCGTATCACTACAACTGCCAAATATAATCCTTAAGGGATCCCCCTTTGGATGGATTGTTAAAAATGGGGATTAGTAGCGCCCATCGTTAGCAATACACCCTGTCAGGTCGACCTCATCGCGGTTCCCCCTGGAAACTATCGTGTTCTATTTCAAATGAATTCATCACGATAGGCTAAGTGACCCGCCTTTTCATTCTCACCTATCATCTCTCACTGGTGCCCCAACAGCGTAAACTGTTAGCGCAAGCGGGGATATAAATCCATTATTATGCATTTAAAATATAATCCTCAAAGTTGAACACAGTTTGTATGTAAACTGTAAAACCCCCAATATGTGAGATCAACTTACACTTAATAGATTTTACAAACTCAAATATTTTTTTTTTTTTAGATTTAGATATATATTTATTTATCTAATCATAGATTCATAGTATCACAATAGATACGTCATAGTGGCAACAAGTAAAGCCTAGAATCCATAACAGCATTATTGCATGGTTGCCATCCACAACACTGAACATCGAACCTGAGGACCATCTACCGAGAAAGGGCTGCTAATCAGGCCCAGAGGGAAGAGAACCCGCGGGCTCCGTTGTACGCGGCACTCGCGGTGGACGGGGCGGCGGCGGGCAGGGGCTGCAGCGCTGGACGGGCGGCGTAGGGCGGCAGGGCTGCTGCTATTTATATAAAATCGATATGTGCGCGGCCGTGGCCTTGGGCGCATCGATCGAGACAGACGGGGCGTGGAAGACGAGCCCCCGACAACTTCCAGCGTGCACAGTACGACCGGTTCTCGGTAACAATAATATGGGCATCTCATGCAGTTGTACGCACTGTGTTGCATACATATACATACGAAAATTGTGTAAACAGTCGCCAACGGACTGTACAGCTCAAAGTTAATGATGTCCAGAGCATAGAATGTGCACATATAAGATTTATAAAAAACAAGTTGCATAACAAAACAAAAAATAAAATAACAAAGCGAAACACGTATTACAGACATGTTTGGCGCCGGTGGACTTTCATTTTTGATTTCCGGCTACCTGTCGCCTATGCTGATATAAAATATAAAAAGAAAAAAAAAATGAATTCCACAAAAAACCTACTTAATTTTTTTTTTTTATACAACTTACAATGGCAAACAAGCTGACGGCCCACCTGATGGAAAGTGGTAACCGTCGCCTATAGACATGAGCAGTACCATGCACATAACAGAGTATACTGTTTCGCCCATGATACCCCCCATGCGTTGCCATTCCTGAGGACTCGGATGTTATCCCTCTGTACCCTGTAAATTTACGCCATATCCCACGCTTCAAACCGAAACACAACTGCTTCACGGTTGAAATGTTCAATTGTAGCAAAACCAGTTATTTTAATTTTCAAAACGAAGCTACTGAATTGATTTTCATAAAATTGCTATAGGACCAATCTATAACTATACCTTTTTAGATGAAAAAAGAATTTTGAAATCAGTTTATGACTGGAGTTATGAGTTCTGTTTAAAGTCAATTGTCAGTAAATACACATAATATTCCTTCATATAATAATATGTAAGTGCCACAGAATCACAGCAATAGTGTGGCCCTTGAGTTTTTTTTTATTGGATGATAATGGAATGGTAACCCCGCCAGCACTATCTGTTAATACTGGCGGAGTGCAAGTGACTTGTGAAGATGAGGATAAAACCTGATCAATTAATCCATAACGACGAAGTCTAAAAGAATTAATCACGACGATTTCCAGAGGGAACCGCGTAGAGGTCAACCTATCAGGGTATATTGCTAGCAATGGTGACTAATGAACCCATTACTAAAAACCCCTCTCCGCCGGCCCTTAAGTTGGGATACTCCATGTTACGAGAAACCAATATCTGGGGACACAACCCAGAACATCCAAATCCGAGCCAATGCAGAAAAATTCGTGTCCTAAATTAGCCCGACAGATAATTGAATCTGGGACTTCATTTACGAAAACCCGTTTGCTGGAAGAGAACTCTTACAGAGTTAAGCTCGCCTATTGTACACCTTTATTTTATATATATTATATGTCATAATTTTTTGTGTACAATAAAGAATAAATAAATAAATAAAACCCACTTGCTCAGCACTGCACCACAAAGGTTGTTAAAATAATCAGAAATAAATTTTATATTCAAATATTTTATTTAAAACTAACGGAAGGTCAACCCAGCCAATGGAAACTGATAACTATCCCTTATAGAAGGTGAAATCAAGATCATTAGCAGCCTTCTTAACAGAATGTTCTAAAAAACACTGAATATTTTCCCCAAAGATACATTACCAGATATTACCAGAAGGAGACTTTGTACAAAAGTCGATTGCTTGGGTACTTCTGTCCCATTTGTGTTTCAACTGTAAAGCAGTTGTGTTTGCATGGCTGTGTTTCGGTTTGAAGGGTGGGCATGGCATATGGCATGAATTTACTGGGTACAGAGCTAAATCCTCAGTCATCCTATATCATCCTATCCATCCTATATAATCCTAAATCATCCTATATTCATATGCCATTTAGTTGTTAATTTAATTGGTATTTCCAAAATCCATACATAATAGTAGTGGGTATAAATTCTTAAAGTTATTTGCGGTGGTCATCACCTTCTTTCTACTTCTGTTTGTTATGCTACTGGGAATGATCTTAGTAACATAACAACCAGTATGATTATTAGTATCAGTAGTAGGAAATTCATATTTTCTATACTATGATAATGGTACCATTTAGTGATAAAAAATTTTAGTAGCAGAACAAGGCCTCAGATGTAGTTCGCAGGATAACAACTTCATTGACATTAAATTTGAAAAAAAAATACACATCAAAACAGTTTATAAAATATGTTGAGTATAAAAACAGATTGAAATAAACAAATATAAATTATATCAATTATACAATTTAATAACATACCTGAACTGTGTGAAGAGTTGCAATCATCGGACATCTTTGTTTTCTGAAAAACAATATATAGCAATAAGTACCTACTAAAGGCACAATTTATAATCAATGTTTTATTTTATTTACTACTGCATTATAAAACATACTTAATGCAATCAAATTATAAAAGTTAAAATCAGCTACTTAGCTGAACAGATACAAATGAAATTTAGTACTGGCTATATTTCAGAATGAATTAGTAATTTTTTTTTTATGCAACTTAGAATGGCAAACAAGCTGACAGTCCACCTGATGGAAAGTGGTAACCGTCGCCTATAGACATGAGCAGTACCATGGACATAACAGAGTATACTGTTTCGCCCATGATACCCCCATGTGTTGCCATTCCTGAGGACTCAGGTGTTATTCCTCTGTACCCAGTAAATTCACGCCATATCCCACCCTTCAAACCGAAACACAGCCATGCAAACATAACTGCTTCACGGTTGAAACACGAATAGGACAGAAGTACCCAAGCAATCGACTTTTGTACAAAGTCTCCCCCATGCACAACGGCCCAAATGAGAGGCTAAGTGCGGAAAACAGAGTCTTTCTTACATTACAAAGTCTCCCCCTGGTGATACATATGGTATATACATCATACCAATCCAATACAAAGCTGTAGCACATGAATAGTATAAAATAATTATATCCCAAATAGATACAATTACCATTTTCAATATTATATTTCCATATGATAAATAGAAAGATAAATGAATCTTTTACATTAGCTTTAATAAGTAAATTTTTGATTCCCACATTTCTTTAATTTAGAAATCTATAATTTTATTAAATTTTAGTAAATAATCTATTATTGGCTGATAACATAACTTTCTGTGGGTAAAAGAATTTCTAAAATTGATTAACTTTTGAGTCTATTCATTACATATAAACACCTCAGTATAAGTATAGATATGGTATGAGTATGGGTTTTTGTCTGTTTTCACAATGTCCTCTACTCAAACTTTGTCTAGGATAGATTGTTTAATAATAAGGCCACCTTTCATGTCACTTCACTGTGTATCATTTATTGTATTTCTTAATTTTGTAATTCATGCAATGAAGTATAAATAAATAAACAAGACAATATGAATGGATAGTATGATGATGTGTGTAAAAGAGTAGCGAGTCCAAATATGACAACTGATGAATATTAGAAGATGAAAACTACAAATATTTATTTCATGGCTAATGTAGCGACTCATTCCGCTATCTCCTTTTTTTACCAACAATTTTTACATCAACATAATATTAAGACTCTTTTTCGTTTGCATAATTTAGAAACATTGTGACATTTAAGTTTTAGTTTATCTTACATTAATCTTTCTGTCTTTACGAATCCTACCTAATGTAAAATATTAAATACTGATTAAATGTTATTGTCGATTGCTGTTCATTAGTTTCCTTCTGTCTTTCAACTGCAAGATAAATAGAATTTTTCTGCAAGCAAGGTTAGTGTCTGAATGCAATAGATGTCCTTAGTCACTACAGGTAACATAAATCATAATACATGTTACAAATATAATATATGTTACAATATATTATATTTATGATATAGTTTTTTTTTAATTAATGAAGACTGTGCTTGGACCATTTAATATAATAACAATAATTCTGTGTGATAGTTTGGATATCTGATATTTTAAAAATATAGCCATCACAACAAAATGTGTAAATATACAGAAAATTAATCATTACTATCAATAATTTATTTTGTAATTACTTTTAAATATATTTTAATTGTATCTTATTGAAGCACAAATACAAGATCAATGAAAGTTTGAAAATACCGCGTTTTCTAAGCAACACAACAACAACAATAAACAATGATAATATAAGTGATAAATGTTAATTCTTTTTTTTTATTTCGGTGCAAATAAACAAAGAACACGTTTTTTCAATACACGAATATAAGATACTTGGAAAATACTCACACGGCAGTTGGACTTCCACAGCTGGTGTATGGTACTCCGACACCCTGAGAGACCGTAACAGTTCAACACACACAAATAATCACATTTTAAACGACATTAAACAATGAAAACAACATTTTAAACAATATTTATGTAAACTTAAAATAATATTTCTTACAAAAGAGATAAAACGTATGTTTTGATGAGAATTTCACGATATTACGATATTAATTTCTATGTTGTTCTTGTATTTCATTTGATCAATTTAAGGAATGAAAAAATTCGTAATTTTGATTGGCTAATAAGATTCTGATTTGAACAAGACAAAAATTCTACCAATACTAGAATCGAGATTCTTTTGCTGTGAACTGTCATGTATGTCAAATGTGTTTCACAGATAATTATAATAAACCATAGATGAAGTAGTATATAATTATTAAGTTATTTCAGAGTTGGCACTGTATTTATACAAACGAAACAGGAATATCTATGCGATCACCTAGAAGTATCAACTCAATAAAATAAATATTGAATGGATATTGTGCAATTATTTAGAATATGCTTCCATTCAAATCACTAATTAATTATATAAGTAGTATATCAAAATGAGTGAACTAAACATATATTTTTGTTTTATTGTAAATATTTATAATGAAACTCGAAAAAAGTGTATTATGTGATCTTTTATCATTATTATCATATCAGTCTTTAACTGTACATTGCTAAACATAAGCTTACCCTTTTGGGGATTTTGCCAGTAGTTGCCACGCATGGCAGGAGGATTGGCAACCGCAGTTAGACTTTGGAATAGTTTTAAGAAAGACGCTGCTGCACATCTTTAGTCTTCTCTTAGTCGCCTCTTACGACACCCACGGGAAATGAAGGCATAGCCTATTCTGTGTCGGGACCACACGATTTTTTATAATAATAATTAATATAGACATTTTAGATATAGGTATCATATATCAAAGGTACGTCGACATGATAAATTATATTAATTTATTGGTTTCGTGGCTATAAGGCCAGCTTATAATGTAATGATAACTTACTCTGTAATGTCTTATGCCAAAAAATGAATATTGTCATTGTCAGTAAATTTTCATGTCGTCTGTTCATTCTCAAATATTTGTTTGAGTTTTATTCTCAGATTGTTTTTCAATTATAACTTTTATGCACTATTAATCGAAATGTTTTCGTCGATATTTGGTAGACGAAAATCACCAGTTGAAGACGTAACGCCTCCTATTCCTGGGCCCAAAACAGATGACTTTGTTATAGTTGACCCAACATCTCCTGGTGGTAGTTTGTATCCAAGTGTGAGCGGTGGCTCTGTACCAGTGGTGTCTCCTAAAAGACCAGCACCTCCAGCTCCAAAGAAGATAGCAGATCAAAGTTTCCATTATTTGCAAGGCGTACCTTTCTCTTTATGTCGTGAATTACAAATGGCTTCGAATAAAGACACCTTTGCAGCGCAAATTGCAGATCAATTGGCATTCTTGACAAATAAAGTGAATCTGAACAGTTATGAATACGAATTTTCACTTGAAAGAAGTGTGCTAAAAGAATTAGAATAATGAATGTGATTGTGTACTATGATTGGTGTTTGAAATACTTGTAAATAAGGACTGTACTTTACGTATGACTCATCTCTATAATAATCCTTTGAAATATTTACTCAATCTATTTTTTTTATATTTGCCACAACTAGTTATATATTTTGGCATGTCTGAATGAAATAAGAACTTTCTGAATGAAATAATTGTTTCATATAATCAAAAAGTTAAAATTTTTTTTTTTTTTATTTTATTTTAGCTGTATTTTAACAGTGTTATGACTAAATTTGTTATGCTTGTTGAGATTGTTTATTGTGTCAAGTATAGAAGAACAGATTGTTAATAAAATATTATTTAATGAAAGCTAAAGTATCACTTTTGTATTTATTTGTATTGGTTTAACTCACATGATAAATTTGGGGTTACCTGACTAATTACACAATCAATAGGCGCCCTTATTTATGAAATGGGTTTGAGGCTCAAATTTCTTGAATTATTGCCAATATGGAAGTAAGTCTTAATTTATATGATAGTTATATATTGTTTAATTCCTCTATATTATTTTGTAATAATGTATAACAGAAATTCTTCAATCATTTTGAATAGCTCAAGTGATAAAAACATTTAAATTTCATTGATTAATATTTCCACATAATATTATTTTGCAATATCAATATTTCATTATAACTATTACCTATATCACATATATTTATTTGTTTACAATAATTACAACTATGCGTTTCTCTACACAAACATACAATAGCTTTTTAATGAGAGTGCTGTTCGATTAGTATAAATGTTTTATTGTGTTATTCCAGTAAGGTGCATACAATTAATGATTACACCATTTCATTTTCACAATATTAGTAGAGAGCAATATTGCTGGTTTGACTGGTTAGAAAAATAAATAAAATTAGCATTGGAGATGTTTATTATAGTGTTATCAATATTAAGTCTATAGATTCTTTTATTAAAAAAAAAACTTGCATTAATACATATAATACATACCCACATCATCTAACTTGATTATAAAAATCAATCTCAAAATATTGTTATAGAGTGTACCACTATAACAGTACATTTGATACAGCATTATTTTTGTTTATACTACCATACAAATTACAAATGTGAATCTTATAATGTGTATTTTAGGTATAAAGACACAACAGTGCCTCTTGTTGTAAACATAATTAGATAAAAATAATGAACTTTTGCTGTAAGTAGAAAGATATGTATAAATAGTTATGGCCATTTCAATATATAGCTTGATTACTTACAGCAAGAATTTTATCTTGTATATAAAAAGTCTTTAAAATGGAATGTAAATAAAAAATAAAATAGAGAATAATTGTTTTTATTTAAAATCCATCCACTTACACTAACACCAGGTCATATAAACAATGAAGTCAATAAAAACCCTATTCTATCCTATAGGTATACAAAGCAGTGGACCATCAACACTTATAGATTCATAAACAAATTATATCATGATTTTAAAATGGAAGTATTTTTTATAACTGACAGTAGAACCATGGGCAATATTAATTGAAGAATTTATTAGAATGGAGTAGGATATAGACTGTTTATCCTGGTCACACACACAAGTAAAAGCTAGTATTAATAAATAAAATACTTATTAGGTACACATAATTCAAGAATTGAGTATTGAAAAGTGACATCTCTATATAGTATAAAAGAAGTGTCTGTCTGCATCTATTATTTTGCTTATTTCTTCTAATCCACACGATTGTTTTTGATAAGGGTCACCATCATTTAAGAAGACTTGTATGTACAACACATCCTAATTCACACCCATGCAAAGCAGAGGCGAGGTACCAATTATTGGGATAATTTATAAATTAATATATCAATTAAAAAATAGATTAAGTATATACAATGTCAGGTCACTAACACACATTCTGTTACAAAATAGAAGGCATAGAAAATGCAATAATCAGTTCAATACCATTACACGTACAACCATCACTTCTAAAAATATAATGGTGATTTAAAAGTCATTTACAACAAACATACGTGTTTAAACTAATCTACTTGGCCTCTCTCCATTTATTTTCCTTCCAACTGTCATCAATATTCATAACCAGCACCAGCGTAACACCAAATTCACACGGTCACATCCAAATCACCAAAATAGTATTATGTGAGTGCTGTGAGTCCACAGATAAATGCAACTATTATCAAGAATGGTACCCATGTCTTGAGGAATGCTCCAAAGCTGTAAAAAAAGGTATAATGTAAACAAGCACTAAAATTATGGCATATCAATTCTATTCATGTTATATATTTAAGAATGTGTATGATGTTACATAAACAAGCTATGTAAAAAACTTTAGATAAAATATTATAAATAAACTGTAATTATTTACTATCTAAATTTTAATTCATAGATGAGTGGCCAATTGATATTTTTAAAGTGAATGATAGTGTGATACCATGTGTAATTTATTATTATTACTTAATTATAATACTAAACTAAATGTAAATATTACCTGACATATTTTGAATATGGCAACATGTAGAAGGCCAGTTTGACCATATTCCAGTTTTTACATCCATTATAATTCATAATATTTAAAGCGGTTGCTACATGGGAATGACAGTTGTCATAAAATATTATGTGCTGAAACAAAAACCTATTGTTAATATAGAAGCAGAAAATTAATATCTCCAATACACATATGATAACAACAAAAAAATTATAAAAAAAGATAAAACTTGTATCAAAATTGAATCATGTATGTGCTGTAGCAATTAAAATATATAATTTTAATAAGCTATAATAATAAAAACAACAGGCTGTATAGTCAATCAACTATTTCCTTAGCTATCTAAAGACAGATAAAAAAATTAGGAAAAAAAATTAATACAATAAGATTACATTTCAGTATATAGATTTGTTCCCAAATATTGCCCATATACATACCATTCTTTTCTTATATATCTCTGAGGCTTCTGCCACAGCAGCATCCCATCCGGCCTGTCCATTGGCTGCTTTCTGTGGTGACAGTTGCCAGTATTTTGTGGGATTTCCAAATGCCATCAAATCCTCAGATACAAAGTAAGGGCCAGCAAAGTCTCTTATAACACCATTAGACATGCAAATGCCCACGTGACCAAGGAATGGGAATATCCATCTAAACATCAAACCAAACAGAAACAAATAAGTAGAAATTAAAAGGTGGCTAGCTGGTCTTATGGTCTTTAAATTGAGCTATGACGAGAAGATAGACAATAAATCCTTATGTAACTCTCATCTAGATACGTAAAAAATAATAAAAATTATTCATGGATTAAAATAATTTAGAATCAACCCCAGTCGTTTAGTAATGATATCAATTAAAACCGCCCCTAGGCGTATACACTGATTCAACGATTGAAAAATCTGTTGTTAGATAAATTGAAAATTGCCATTAATGATACTATATAAGTAAAGGGAAAACTTACGTTAAAACTGGAATAGGAGTCCAAACTATACAGTAGGGATATCTACTACGATCATGGTCTATAGGATCCATAAGAACGGCTTGTTCAGTATCTCGGATGTCAATTGGGCTAGCTGGACTCTGATCTCCATTCATAATTGATCATGCAATTGAGAACAATATTAAAATTTATTTCATAATCATATAAAAGACAAAAACAAAATATTGTTTTTTAATTTATATATTTATACATATCATTGAATTATTTGACTAATGTCAAAGTCGTCAAATTGACATTGGTAACATTATTTGACAATCTAATCCATAGCTATTCTGGTCTTGTCTATGATGTCGACAATAGAACATAGATTTTGTAATTCCTTATTCTTAGCAATCGAATCGTTGGTATTTAGCTGGAAATATCAGCTTATATTTCCGTTGTAGAAGAAAATAGGATAAACATTATAAAAAGTACAATAAAATTTAATACAAGACTTTTTGAATACAAGACAATTTTAAATTACAACCGGCCAGTAGTTTACAGCTGTTTGAAAATAAACCTATTTCTAACACGAATTTAAATTTACAGTCTATAAACTATCAATTTCATATTTACTGTTGCCCAATGATTAAGGATCTGCGATCCTTTATCTGCATTATACTTAGTTCATGAGGAAAAAAAGGACCAAATTTCTTTAGACATTGACAGATAAAATATTAACAAAATTTCTTTAGATATAGTCTCTCTGGTCTATGACTTGCTCTATAGTCTCTGCTTTGTTTGTTTCATTCATTCGTTATCTATGTTTTTGTTGATGTGACGTTTATAGAAATTGTTTGGCGCTAATATTATTTATTAATTATATACTTATATTTCATGTAAAATTTCTATGTGATCTACAAAAATGCCAGCGTTTCTAAAATATATTGATATGGAAAATTTCAAGTCCTATCGCGGTCATCACCGGATAGGTCCTCTGAAGTCTTTCACTGCCGTTGTTGGCCCCAATGGTTCAGGTAATTCACTGTTTTCTCATTAAAATCCATAAATAATTCCCTTCAAACCTGTTTCATTTAATTATGTTTTATTATATCTGATGTTTACTAAATTCAAAATGAATACTCAATTCTAGGCAAATCAAATTTTATGGATGCAGTAAGTTTTGTGATGGGTGAAAAAACGTCTCTGCTACGTGTGAAGCGTCTTAGTGATCTAATCCATGGTGCATCCATCAACAAACCTGTCTCTAGAAGGTAAACCTTATTTCATAAGTACTTCTGCATCTCTTTATTATTTATATAATTTGACTGGAAGTACTGTGCACAAACTAGTCTTGTACTTTCTTATGCCTTTAACATTAGTCTCATTTTTGTTAGAGAATCCTTATTTTTATCAATATGCAATACAATTAACTTTCATTTCATAAAAACAACAGTTGAGTTTCCTTTTCTTCTAAGCCAAAATTGCATTCCAAATGAATAGAATCATAAAAAAGCTATTTGAAAATATTTATAATAGAGTATATGTAAATAAAAAATATTCATGCTTTTTAACTTTTTTCCTTTGATAAATTTTATAATATCGACTTGACTTTAGAGTTCTGAAGTTGTCTACAATCATACATCATGGTATTAATATACTAAATAATACATTACAGTGCTTCAGTGACAGCTACTTTTGTGCTTGAGGATATGACAGAGAAGCAGTTTCAGAGGTCTGTTATTGGACAGTCATCAGAGCACAAAATCGATGGACATGTGAGTAATAAATAGTATTAAACAAATATTATCAGCATTGGTCAGAGATGTTACTGCGTAATCTATAGTTGCTGCAAGGATTGTAAAGTGTGTAACAACCCACCAATCATCAGCTATATTCACATCATTCATCATATGTTACTGGATTATATATCATCACCTCTTCTTTTCATATATACATAAAAATATTGTAAATTTATATACTTCATTTGCTTACATATTAAAATCATATCTGAATCAAGAAAAAAATCATTATTACTGCAAACCCAGTAAACTTGCAATTACTCAGTCTGCTAGAACAAACCAACACACACATGCCCAAATAGAGATTTTAAACTTATTTCATTTACTGTCAAAATTTTATAATTGTAATCTTTCAGTAATGACTATCTCTTACTGATGAATTCTTCATTTTAATATTATATCTTCATACTATTTATTCTATTTCTTTATGAGCAAAGGTTCAGCACAATAGTCTCATTTGTGACTGCCATTGTAAAATATTATTTTGTTTCAGTCTGTGTCAGTGTCGAATTACCTGGCGGAGCTGGAGAAGCTGGGCATTAATGTGAAGGCGAAGAACTTCCTGGTATTCCAGGGTGCCGTTGAGAGTATTGCCATGAAGAACCCCAAAGAGAGGACCACACTCTTTGAAGAGATTAGTGGGTGAGAATCTATTGTTTGGTGTCACTGTATAATATGTAGTAGTGTTAATAATACCTTCTAATGGTTACTTGGTTTGATTCCTACATTATACAAACATATTGATGACTACAAAAGTAATGAATAAGTCTGTTTATATTGGTCTGGGTGTTTTCTATGTGTTAAGGAACATATTAATGTGTAACTATCTATGTTTATACAAATAAATTATGTACAATACAAGTATTGTTTAGTTTGAGACTGGAAGAGAATCAATAGGATTTTCTCTGTCTTCAGATTTATAAAAATATGCAATCATTGTTCTACTTAGTATAGTATACTATAGTGAATGGAACTTTATCCTTAATTGTTTATAACATTTTTAGATCTGGTGTACTCAAAGAACAGTATGAGGCTTGTCGTGCAGAAGTAAATCGTGCGGATGAAGAAGCTCAGTTCTCATATCAGAAAAAGAAGGGTGTAGCTGCCGAGCGGAAGGAGGCTAAGTTTGAGAAAGAGGAAGCTGAGAAGTATACCAGACTGAAGGAAGAACTGGTAAGATGTTTAATGAAATTAAGGGTTGATGAAATTAATTAGTAAAAAAATTCCTCTCTAAAACCTAAATTTGTTTAGTTCAATCTTAATACACAATAAATACATAAAGACATGAACAAATTTTAAAGATTATTTTATATAATGGTTTTAGTTTGTATCAATTGTATGATATTGTTTAAAATATTTCTTCTTTCTTTTATTGTCTTTTTTATATAATCTCTTTATTATTGGCAACACGCATTAACTACATTTATTTGTTGCTTGCAGGCTGAGCAAAAAGTGGAACTCCAACTCTTCCACTTGTATCACAATGAGAAAGACATCCAGAACAGTGAGGAGGAACTGCAGCAAAAGCAGTCCGAGCTGGCCAAAGTGGAGAAGAAGAGGCAAAAAGCAGAAGATGCGCTCAAGGAGAAGAAAAAAGAAGCTGGCACTGTGCAGAGAGAGTTGGCCAAGATCGAGCAGGATATTAGAGATGTGGTCTGTATTTTATGTTGACTTCAGTTTTCATTTCTGGAAGGGGGTAACAGAGACCTCATGTTGTTATTGTCTCTGCCCTTGGCTGGTCTGATCTGTTTTTTTTATAGATATTAAACTGTGGGGAATCTCATCCCTCCTTCACTTTTTATATGAAATTTATTTATGGTGTTTTTAAACAATTAGAGTTGGATTAAAGTTGTATTTCGCTTCATTCTGCTAAATAATAACTTTTTACATCATCATCTTTGCACTACATGTTTTCTGTGAAATAAGAGGAGAATATAATATTATTTTCTATTTTTCTCTATTCAAGTAGGTAATTAATGTACTCCTACCAATAGTATTAGAGGCATCAGTGCACATTCTCTACCTTCTCTTGAGTCATTTTAATTATTTACTCTTAAATATTACAAGTAGTGTACGATGTACTTTATATTTGAACAGGAAGCTGAGATATCGAAGAAGCGTCCAACTTTCATCAAGGCGAAGGAGCGTGTGACCCACTCGCAGAAGAAGCTGGAGAGCGCTATCAAGACCCTCGAGCAGGCGCGTAAGGCCCATGAGGCACATCAGGCCGACATCAAGAAGTTGGAGGACGAGCTCCGTCAAGTGGAGGAGCAGAAGGCGACCTGGGAGCAGTCTATACTGGGCACCTCGCACACCGGACGTGCCGATGTCCATCTAGAGGAAGCTCAGGTAATGTGTTATTTATATTTTCACTGCAAAAATATGTCCCTATATATAATATAACTGATGATATCTATGATGAATATTCTCTTCATTTATATGCTAATCATTCAGAGTCACCAATTTCAAGGATTCAACATCTCTTCAGGCGATTCAAGCAGGTTGGACAGTTTTTTTAAGGGGTGAAAATGGAATGGTAACCCTACTTGCGCTATCGGTATACACCGGCGGGGTACCAGTGAAGGATGATAGGAAAGGATGCTAGATAGGAAAAACCTCAAAATAATGATAGAGACAATAATGGGCCATTGTCCATTAAACAAACATTATTACACAATAGGAGCCACTGACAGCCCTCTATGTCGAGGCTGTTTCGACGCCGAAGAAACGGCTGCTCACGTAATCCTGGAATGTGAAACTGTGGCCCATCAACGTTTAGAAATTCTCGGAACGGGAGGCCGCTCCGTGAGGCCTGTGAAGATCCCAGGAAGCTTCTGTGCTTCTGGGCGGAGTTAGGTTGGCTGTACTAGCCACGACTCATATACATAACGGCCCAAATGAGAGGCTAAGCGCGGAAAAGAAAGTCCAATTTACATTACATTATATTTAGGTAAGGATGAAGCAGGTCAGTTGGTCCATCATGATGAATTCAACAAGAATTGTTCACGACGGTTTCCAGGGGTAATCGCGTGGAGGTCGACCTGAGAGGGTATGTTGCTAGTAATGGGGCTATTAGACCCCATTACTAACAATCCCTTTCCCCCCATAGGTTGGACAGGTAACGGCTATGACGATAATGTTTATACATATACATATATGTATCACAAAAGAAGTATTTAATTGCATCTTTTTACCTTTGGCTGTTAAATTGGCTACACAGGTTACACTCTGGGTTCGTTGCACGCGTTCGTGTAGCCTAACTTCAGGCTGCAGCTGAAAATCAGTTCTTTGCTTTTAAGCAAAACTATCACTGAGCTGTAGCCTATTTGGGTCACTGCGACACACATGGTGAAAACATACTTCCATACTTTATCTTTTGTTTTATATTTAAAAAAGTGTAAATAATCTGATTGTATAAACTCATTTGTTAATTTACGTGTGTCATAAATGGCTCAAATATAGTGTTTATCTATCTATCTATCTTTTAATTGCCTGGGACAAGCTGTGGCTAGTGTAGTACTGGATAACGCTGTATGATATGTCCAGTTGTGCTTATAATTTTAGTTTAGCCCTCGGTTTGTTTGCTATTGCAAGTTGTATAGAGAGAGTTGTCGGTCGGTGTGTACAGATCCGCGAGTACGAGGAGCTGAAGATGGAGGCGTCGCGGCAGGCGGCGCGCTATCTGCAGGAGCTGGACTCGGTGAACCGCGAGCAGAAGGCCGACCAGGACCGGCTCGACAACGAGCTGCGCCGCAAGGGGGAGCTCGAGAACAAGCACCGACAGAAGGTACTTGCATTTATATATTTTTTTTTACAACACAGGAGGCAAACGAGCATATGGTACACCTGATGGGGACTACCGCCACCCATGGTCACCTACAACACCAACGGCATTGCAGGTGTGCTGTCGGCCTTTTAAATAATAATAATATAATATTATAATATTTATTTAATTAGACTACATAAGGCCCATTTTGTTAGTTAAAAAGTTTAAAAGGGAATATGCGCTTCTCAATTGTTGTCGTATCGGTTCGGAAATACTGCTGCTGGAAGTTGATTCCAAAGAGTGGTTATGCGTGGGAGAAAGTGCCTTGAAAAACGCATGCTGGAAGACCGCCACTCGTCCAGATGGTTGGGATGAAATTTTAGTTTATGGCGGGTTGTACGATGGTAAAAATCAGCAGCAGGTAACAATCCAAACAATTCTTCAGAGCACTGTTTATATTATATACAATAAAGAATAACTATATGGTATTTGTTATTTGAGTTATTACCAACATCTTTATCTATAGATAAAAAATACTATGATTAATTATTTGCTGTGTAAACTCGGCATAGAATAGGCCACCTTTCTCATTAGTGTCGTGAGAGGCGACTAAGCGAGAGCAAGGGATGGGCAGCAACATCTCTCTTGAAGCATCTCTAAAATCTAACTGAGGTAGCCAATCTACCTGCCAAGAGAGGCAACTACTGGCAAAACCCCCTAAGGGGGAGGCTTATGTTCGCCAGTGGATAGTTGGGGGTTGATATGGCGATGACGATGATATAGTATAGTTATATATATATATATATATATATATATATATATATATATATATATATATATATATATATATATATATATATATATATATATATATATATATATATATATATATATATATATATATGTTGGATAAAAAGAAGGGTAAAGGACAAACCTGGTTCACATAGTCCCCGCGTGTAGGTCTTTTGTACGCGTTCTCTTTCTCTCTTCTAAATATCCAACACTTTTGTTGATTTTGCTTAAGTACCACTGTATGTTGCGCGGAGATCGCGGCTGATTGATTAATTCGCAACTGGCGGAGATTTTTCGTGACCTTGGCGGAACTTGATCAGCTCGACACGCAGTTGGATTATAGACTGATTTTGTCCATCTACCCCCCAATGTGATCCCAGATTTGATAGGAAATATGGATAGGTTAGGAGGGTAGAAGGATATTGCGTTCGGAAATGTTTAAAGCACATACACATGATGAGATTATATTTACCAATATATATATAAATAAATAGTTTATATTATTGATTTTATAAATAAAAAATGACTTACAAATCTCGGTACTGTTTGCCGACTTCCACTGGTTTGTTTCACGTGTGTCCTTATTATGAAACGACGCATTACATGTCTATTGTACATACACACACTGACGTCAGTAACAGTAACAGTAAAATAAGGTGATTAACAATTGTTACAGTTAAAAAAAAAAACTAATGTTTATTCCTAATCAATTATACATGACCGTGATTACAACTTGAACCTTGAAGCAATGTTTTCATTAACAGTTTGGTAGGTCGTAGGTGACTCGACATAGTCATGTTCTTTTTTGATGGGTGAGAATGGAGTGGTAACCCCACCCGCGCTATCGGTATACACCGGCGGGGCACCAGTGAAGGATGATAGGTGAGGATGAAGCAGGTCAGTTGGTCCCTCATGACGTATTTAATAATTTATTTATTTATAGGATTACCAACACAAGATACAGCGAAACATTTCAATACAATACACTGGCAGATTAAATCTAACTGTTCTTACATTTATAGGCGACCACAGCATGCCTTGTGTTTGGTAAACACTAAATATGGAATTAAATTATTAAATGTCATTAAATGAATAAAGTTATTAACAATATGAATAGTAATATAATATAAATAATGGAAATTGTATTTAAATTATAAATAAATATAATGTAATGGGGAGGTACATCAACATTTTAATTTAGCCATGAACACAGAGTGACTATCGTTGTGAATATCAAGTTCAGGCTTGGTTTTTACAATATCGTTATACAGACGCGTTATGCGGACGACAATAATTAACCATGATGGTTTTTAGGGGGAACCGCGTGGATGTCGACCTGATAGAGTATATTACTAATAAGATATATTCTATTAGGTCGACCTCCACGCGGTTCCTCCTGGAAACCATCGTGATTAATTGTTCTTGAATGATCACTATGGGCTAATTTACCTACTTTCATCTTTACCTATCTATCGTCATCCCTCACTGGTGTTTCGCTAGTAAAAATAACCGGTTGCGCAAGTGGGGTTATCATTCCATTCTCATCCATTAAAAAAAAAAAATTAAAAGGATATATTGCTAGTAATTAGAATTAACATTCCCAATAACAACAGTCCGTCTCCTAATGAAACAGTTTTTTTTTTTGATGGGTGAAAATGGTATGGTGGCCCCGCCTGCGCTAACGGGATACGCTGGCGGAGCACCAGTGAAGGGTGATAGATGAGAATGAAAACAGGCCAGTTAGCCCATCATGATGAATTCATCAAGAATTAACCATGATAGTTTCCAGAGAAAATCGTGAGGAGGTCGACCTGGTTGGGTATATTGCTAGCAATGGGATTCTCAGTCTCCATTACTAACAATCCCTTTCCCCCTAATGAAACAGTTGATCCGCTTTTCTCGAAGCATTTGTATGGAGACACTCTATCTATATAATCTAAGTATTTCGTGTAACAACTACCGGTTTAACTTACGTCTATTTAGATTAAGAAAGCTCGACAAGTTTCGGGATCGATACGTGATCCTTATTCATAAGCGTCTGTAACACGAGCGTGAGCTTGACTGCGCTCCTTAGCCTGCTTAGGGTGAACTGCACGCGTTCGAGGCACCGTTAAATAAATAATAAATGAATGGATGAATATGTATTTGCAAGAAATATGGTAAATATACAGATAGATAGAATGATATTAAGTCCACATATTTCGCCACAATTGGGCATGCAAAATTTAAAATACTTAAATAATTACATACATACATGCATACATATCTGTCACGCCTGTCTCCCATTAGGGCAGGCAGAAACAATGGAACGCCAAATGCTTCGATTCAAACAAACCACTTTCGCTTCTTCCACATTCATCAATCTTTTCGTACACGCTCACCGGTTACGGATACTTAGATAATTAAATAAATAAATTAACAATTCTTATAAAAAAAAAACAATATGTCAAATACAATTTCATGTCAGTTAATGTACTTCATCTCATTGGATTTTACGGTTATGCTAACAGGGTCATGAGAGAAATGAAGCCATGAAGCGAGTGGAGAAACTGAACGAACATATCAAGAGCTCGGAGCAGGCGTTGGAAGAACAGAGACGGTTGCGCGCCGAGTTACAGGTGACATTACGATATGGAAACATTATTTTAAATCAAAAGGGAAAATTGCTGCACCTAATTGGATTCGGTTGTCACACATGTGCTTCCAGAACAGGAGTTAGATTTTCAAACATCTAACTTAAAATCTGGTATGGTCTGGTATATTTATCTTGATAGACTGTCTTGAAGTGATTTTCTATTTAAATTGGTTTTCCTACTTTTGAAATCTATTTTTTTTTATACAACTTAGAATGGCAATCAAGCTGACGGCCCACCTGATGGAAAGCGGTAACCGTTGCCTATAGACATGAGCAGTACCATGGACATAACAGAGTATACTGTTTCCTCTATGATACCTCCTATGTGTTGCTATTTCTGAGTATCAAAGTGTATTGTACCCTGTAAATTCACTGTGATATTTGGAAACACGAATGGGACAGAGATGCCCAAGTAAACGACTTTTGTACAAAGTCTCCCTCTGGTATAAGTAGGTAGGTTAAAAGTACTTAATAAATATAAAGCAATGCACATGTAACACGCTCGGCCGCGTGTAAACTACGCCACGCGCGTGGCTCTGAAGTATCTTTAATTTATTCGACGATCTATGGCTTAGCTGTAGTCATGCTGTGTTTAAAATGAATCTTTTTATATTGAGACAGTTTTTGTTTTAAAAAAAATGAATAATAACAGAAGTTTAATATTGTACATCACGTCAATAGACAGTATTTTCATTTAAAATTAATGTAATCTATCTATACTTATTATAAATCTGTAGAGAGGTCAATTCTGTACATGAAATATATTTCCAAAATAACTATCAGCGGGTGATTAGTGATCGATACTGATGACAAAAATGCAATCAGTAAAATTTTTGTTTTAACGAAACTTGGTGCAATTATTCTTCATACTCCTGGGCAGGTTATAATATACTTTTTATCACGCTACGATCAATAATAGCAGAGCAGTGAAGGGAAATGTTGGGAAAACGGGTAAAGTTACTCCATTTTTAAGCTTCCGTCGCGTGTGCAGCCTTAATGGCCACTTTGTAAAATGTAAAAATGTCCACCCGTGCGACGCCGGGACGGGCCGCTAGTTAATAGTTAAGAACAAATAAAAAGAGCCATGATATTTATAAAGCTGTTGGTCAGCATAACGTAGCCCCGGGTCGTATAAGTGTTGCAAGCGAGGCCGAGTGCGGTAGTGTGCGGTACGTGGTGGTGTATGGTGGCATGCGCGTGCGCAGGCGGACGTGGGCGAGTGCCGCGGGCGCGCGGCCGAGCTGCAGGCGCAGCTGGAGGAGGTGGCGGCGCAGCTGGGCGACGCGCGCGTCGACAAGCACGAGGAGGCGCGCCGCCGCAAGAAGCAGGAGATCGTCGAGAGCTTCAAGCGGGACATTCCCGGCGTGGTGGGTGCAACAAATACACCTCAACATTTTGTTCTACCCCAGCCCGTGTCGTTCTAGAATGGCACACACTTGGCCCTGTGGACCAAAATGAATGACATTGCTTAAGATGCCCATACAGTGCATACTCGGGGCCCACACTGCACCCCATGAGGGGTCTGCAGGTGACCCTGTGTATCTCTGTGTGTGAGGATTTTAGTGGAGCACTTTGCTGAACAACATTTAATTAATTAAAAACTTACTATATTCAGCTTTAGATGTGCACGTTCCTTACCATATACATTATATTGTACTACGAGTATTTTACCATCGAAAGAGCAAAAAACTTAAAATTTAATGGAGACATTATTAAATTTACTTGCACGTCTATGGTCCTTATAAACAATAAACCTTGTAACGTGAAAGCCTAAAAGTTAATATGTACGTATCGACAGCATAGTTATAGAAAATAAATGTATCTCCATATGATGTTCATAATCAGCTCTTCTATTATATCATGACAGTGATTGTCAACACTCACGGTCTCTTGACACAGTACGAGGTTTGTCCGGAAAGTACGTATAAAAGTTTTTAAAAATTTTATTTTACAATTATTCAGGTAAATCAATTTTATCCCCTTCAAAGTACTCCCCCTGTGACATAATGCACTTGTGCCAACGCCGTTTCCACTGTGAGAAGGCTCCTTGAAAGTCCTCTGGTTGTAGGTTTCTCAGCTGCCCCGTCGTAGCTTTTTTTATCTCATTTATGTCCCCCAAATGCCGCCCCCGAAGTACCAATTTGGTTTTTGGGAACAAGAAGAAGTCACACGGGGCCAAATCCGGCGAATAGGGGGGTGTTCGGTCACCGTAATGGAATTTTTACTCAAAAACTCACGGACAACAAGAGAGGTGTGGGCAGGGGCATTGTCGTGGTGAAGAATCCAACGCCCCTCTCGCGCCAATTCTGGACGAACTCGTGCCACACGAGCTTTGAGGCGTCTGAGCACATCGACGTAGAATTTTCCATCAACTGTGAAGTGGAAGGACGTCCTGAACGTGGGTCATCTTGAACGCTTTCTCGGCCCTCTCTGAATCTTTTTAGCCACTTGTGGACGGTTGGTTCCTTCACAACATCATCCCCATAAACTGTTCTGAGATCGGCAAAAATTTCACGGCCATTCTTGCCGAGTTTCGAGAGAAACTTGATTACGACGCGCTGCTCTTCAACGGAAGCGGGCTCCATGCCGACGGGGTTTCGTTAAGAGGTAACTTCACAGATGGCGTGACAAGCCAGTTCGCACCGCACGGCGGTCAGACCAGAACTGAAGCATTGTTAGGGACATAAGGAAGGGGTCCTGCGCTTACCTGGCCTCCCCACTCCTCTTTCTCGCATTCCAGAACACTTTTATACGAACTTTCCGGACAGACCTCGTATATACTAGTCCGACTAGATAATTTATTTATTTTTAATTACTCACCACACTTACAGTCTCCCAAAACGTGTAGTGGGCCATAGGTTTATTTTACAAATTTAAATTTTTTTTACAACATTTTAAAAATATTTTATTCTATTTTGTCATTAAATATATTAATATCTGGCTGCTGAGCAATCAGAGAATTGAGCAGAGAAATAGCCTGATAAGTGGCAGCAAACTGAGCAGTACAATGTGTTAAACAAGTTCCCGTGTCGCGCAGTACGACCGCATGATCAATATGTGCCAGCCGACGCACAAGCGGTACAACGTGGCCATCACGAAAGTGCTAGGCAAGTACATGGAGGCGATCGTGGTGGACACGGAGAAGACCGCGCGCCGCTGCATCCAGGTGCTGAAGGAGCGCATGCTCGAGCCGGAGACCTTCCTGCCGCTCGACTACATACAGGCCAAGCCGCTCCGCGAGAGGCTCAGGTCAGATCACTACACAGCTTCTATACTACTGAGGGCCTACCATGAAATGTTTTCCGAAATTTCCGATCCGAACGAAACAAATATTTGATGCTAAAATTAGATGATATGTACCGTTTAAAAATACTAAAAATGCTAAAATATCGTTCCTTTGAACTTTTATGATAGGATTTATGACAAACGAAATGTTAAGCTCCATTTACAGGGTCAATTTCGGTGTGAACAAAAACACGATATCGATCCTGAAAATTCGGAATTTCATTTCATGGTAGACCCCTGATTAATAGTTTGTATTCACACAAATTTATAAAAGCAACAGATGAGTTTCTTGCCCGTTCTTCTCAGCTCAAATTGCATTCCGAACTGGGTGGTAATTTCATAAAAAAAATACTTAAAAAAATGCTTAAATTCCCTTTTACTTGAATAAAAATATTTATTTCGTATGTTAATTATTACTTGCAATGCCAAATAATGTACACCGTACTGGTGGGTAATTTTTTTTTAATAAGTGAAAATAAAATAGTAATATAGCCTGTATTTTTGGTACACACTGGCGGGGCACCAGTGATGGTTGATAGGTGAGAATGAAAGCAAGTCAGTTAGGCCCATCATGACAAATTTGACAAAAATTAACCAAGGAGGACCGCGTCCAGATCGACCAGATAGGGCAATAAACCTTATATTGCTAGTAATGGAGTTGTTGATTAGTAACAGTGGTTTTCCCCCCATTGTTGGGTACTCTGGGCATCACAGTGTATCCTGTGCAATTCTGTCTATAAGTGACAATTATAATTTTGTGTGTTGGCAACTTGTTTACCTTGTTAGTAATGCGGACAACCAGTTTCATTTTTAGCACTATGAGGTCGACCTCCACGTGGTCTACCTGGAAGCCATCGTGCTGAATTTCAGGTGTATTCATCACGATGAGCTAACTGACCTGCGTTTACAATCTCACCTATCATCCCTCACTGGTGCCCTGCCAGCATATATTGTTACCGCAGGTTGGGTTGCCATTCCATTACCATTCCCTAAGAAAAAACTTGTTTATCCTACTAAGTATTATAAAAAAACTATAAACGAAAGCTATGACCAGCAGTGAACGTTACAGCTAGGTAAATGTTTTTTTTTTTTATACAACTTAGAATGGCAAACAAGCTGACGGCCCACCTGATGGAAAGTGGTAACCGTCGCCTATAGACATGAGCAGTACCACGGACATAACAGAGTATACTGTTTCGCCCATGATACCCCCATGCGTTGCCGTTCCTGAGGACTCAGGTGTTATTCCTCTGTACCCTGTAAATTCACGCCATATCCCACCCTTCAAACCGAAACACAGCCATGCAAACACAACTGCTTCACGGTTGAAACACGAATGGGACAGAGGTACCCAAGCAATCGACTTTTGTACAAAGTCTCCCTCTGGTAATGACTCAACTGAAACATATGTATGCACTATATGACTAACTAAACTATACTAACCCGTTAGAATCCCCTTAGAGTATTGGCACAGGCGTGATGCACGTGTTACCGTACGCCGTTTATGTGCAGGGACATCCGCGAGCCGAAGAACGTGAAGCTGCTGTTCGACGTGCTTCGCTTCGAGCCGGCCGCCATCCACCGCGCCGTGCTCTTCGTCACCAACAACGCGCTCGTCTGCGAGACGCCCGAGGACGCCTCGCGCGTCGCCTACGACCTCGACCGCAGCAAGAACAGTCGATACGATGTGCGTACTTTATATACCGATGGCTAATATAAAATTCATAATATAAAATATATATAAAATTCTCGTGTCACAGTGTTCGTTCGTTCGTTCAATCGGCCAACATCTATTTTTCATACCCTTCAATGATAAGGGTGACCCTCCCCAAATTTTTTTTTTATTTTTTTAACAAATTCTTCCGTTTTTATTTTATTATGATTTAGCGTTGAAAAATACATACAACTTTAAAATTTCATCGTTTTACCATCAACCCCTGTATTTTAATCACGATTTTTATATTTCGCAATAAGTGGTAAAACAACGTTTACGGGGTCAGCTAGTATATATATATATATATATATATATATATATATATATATATATATATATATATATATATATATATATATATATATATATATATATATATATATATATATATATATATATATATATATATATACAGATGCTTTGTACGGAGACAGTGAATGCAGGTAACTCAGGATTATTCCTTATGGCAGTCTATTGCAGAGGCCTATGTTCAACAGTGAACGGACAATGGCTGAGATGACGATGATGGTAACAGATGCCCTGTATATGTGTGGGCATTGTAACAACGATATATAGATATTGCAATATATTGCACATTCGTAATTTTAAATTAAAACTAAGGGACGTAAAAATGATCTAATAAGATGACGATAAACCCGCCCAGTGTTGCCACTTTACCTCACTTGTTGTAAATTTGTTATGTCGTGTTTTTGTCTATGTGTTGCACGTAATTGTTACTTTCTTTGAAAGAAATAATAATGACTCTTTGTTAATGAATTTTAATTGACTTCAGTAATTTGGTTAGAATTGTAGGTAATTTTTAACAGAATTGTTTCGTTGCAAGTTTACCCAATTATTTGTGACAGATTTATTTGAAAACTGTACATTATTATGACATGATTGAAAACTTGTTCTACTAGTTAAAATTAATTCTTTCTTTGAAAGAGAAAAAAAAAGTAAATTTTTTAAGTATCTGTTAATAGTATGTTTTAATGTGCAGCATTGCATTGTTTGTCCACTAGGCGCTGGCTCTAGATGGCACGTTCTATCAGAAGTCGGGCATCATCTCCGGCGGCTCGCTCGACCTGGCGCGGAAAGCGAAGCGCTGGGACGAGAAGCATCTCTCGCAGCTCAAGTCTAAAAAGGTGATTGCAATCCTATTGTTTTACTGTGCATTTTGCGGTTTAACCTATTTAATCTTGCTGCTCGCTTAATTAAAACATTGGACAGAAGTTTTCATGGGACAAAGGGATCATAATCTTAACCATTTAGCCTTAACTATTTCGACGTACTAAAACTGTCCACGAACGTTAACGTAATTATGTCTTATTATACAACTAATCCAATGTTATGGTGATTTTACAGGAAAAATTAACAGAAGAGCTCCGTGAGTCCATGAAGAAGTCCCGTAAAGAGTCCGAATTGACGACTGTGGACTCGCAGATCCGAGGGCTCGAGTCCCGTCTCAAGTACGCCATCACAGACCGGGACACCACCGTGAGTACATCGATACATTTATAGTTATATAGCCATATATGCAAACTGGACAATTATATTAGGGGTTACATGAATGCAATGACTATAACATACAGATATACAGACAGTTTTTTTTTATACAACTTAGAATGGCAATCAAGCTGACGGTCCACCTGATGGAAAGTGGTAATCGTCACCTATAGACATGAGCAGTACCATGGACATAACAGAGTATACTGTTTCGCCCATGATACCCCCCATGCGTTGCCATTCCTGAGGACTTAGGTGTTATTCCTCTGTACCCAGTAAATTCACGCAATATCCCACCCTTCAAACCGAAACACAGCAATGCAAACACAACTGCTTCACGGTAGAAATACGAATCGGACGGACCCAAGCAATCGACTTTTGTAAAACTGTGATATGTACGCTAACATATTCTTACAAACAGTAACTGTCGACTTTTCTTTGCTTTACGTTTCACGTACGTTGAATTGTTTTCAGTTAAAACAAATCAAAGCCCTGGACGCCGAACTCGCCGAGTTGGAGAGGAAGATGGAAATGTTTGGGGTGAGTAACTTAAGATCCAGCAGGTCTACCATGAAATGAAATTCCGAAATTTCGGACTCAATTTCGTGTTTTTGTTTATACCACCAATAAATGGACCAATAAATGGAGTTTAACATTTCCTTTGTCATTACATTCTATCATAAAAGTCCAAAGGAACAATATTTTAACATTTTTAATGTTAAAATATTGTTCCTCCAAACACCATGTATTATGTAATTTTAACATCAAATTGTGTTTCGTTTGGCTCTGAAATTTTGGAAAACATTTCATGGTAGGCCCTCTGAGGGTCATACACACTTTTGTCTCATCCTAGCATATCCTGTGTCCTTGTCTATACTAAATGTATGTATGTATAGCAAATATTATAGTAGACTCACTTTCACATTTGTTACATTTGCTAGGATTAATCTCAGTATCTGCTTTATTTAGTTATTTATTTTGGGTGAAAATGTGATAGTAACCTCGCTTGCGCAGTCGGTATACACTGGCGAGGCACCAGTGAGAGGTGAAAATCAAAGCATTTTAGTTAGTCTATCGTGATGCATTCTATAAAAATGAAATATAATGGTTTTTAGGGGGATTGCATAGAAATTTGATATATTATTAGCAACAGGGCTGTTGGGCTTTGTTAGTAATTTTTTTTTTCTGAATTCTATTTTTCTTGAAGATGGTGTGGGGCAGAATCCAGGGATGCGGAGAATGTATACATAGAAACTGAATTTCGGAGTGAACAGTAGAGTCCCTCAGAGACCTTTTTTATTATCGCTACGGATGGCGCTTTAGTACCTCATTTGGTGATATATTTTTTTTTCAATACTAATATTGATTTGTATTTCGTAGCCGCAAATCGAGGAGATCGAGCGCACGATACGCGCGCGCGACGCCAAGATCCAGGAGGTGAAGGAGAACATGAACAACGTGGAGGACGTCGTGTTCCGCGGCTTCTGTCGGGACATCGGCGTCGCCAACATCCGGTATGCGCTGTGGTGGCAGAGTGGTGTAGTAGAGCAGTAGGTGCGTAGAGAGGGTAGTGACGAGAGCGTGTGGTGGCCGCAGGCAGTACGAGGAGCGCGAGCTGCGCGCGCAGCAGGAGCGCGCCAAGCGGCGGCTGGAGCTGGAGGCGCAGGTGGACCGCATCGCCTCCAACCTGGAGTTCGAGCGCTCGCGGGACACGCAGAAGAACGTCACGCGCTGGGAGCGCAGCGTGCAGGACGTGGACGACGAGCTGGACGCCGCGCGCCAGGCCGAGGGCAAGCAGCGCCAGGACATCGACCGCGAGCTGCGCCGCAACGACGCGCTCAAGGCCGACCGCGTCGCCGCGCGCGCGCGCCGCGACCACGCCGACGCGGACGTAGACAAGGTCACCGCCACCACACCACGCACACGCACACGCACACGCACGCGGCGACATCACGCGCCGCCACCACACCGCGCACACGCACACACACACACGACGACAACGTCACGCGCCGCCATCACACCACGCACACGGCGACGACGTCACGCGCCGCCACCACACTACGCACACCACGCACACGCACACGGCGACAACGTCACGCGCCGCCATCACACCACGCACACGCACACGCACACGGCGACAACGTCACGCGCCGCCACCACACCACGCACACGGCGACGACGTCACGCGCCGCCACCACACTACGCACACCACGCACACGCACACGGCGACAACGTCACGCGCCGCCATCACACCACGCACACGCACACGCACACGGCGACAACGTCACGCGCCGCCACCACACCACGCACACGGCGACGACGTCACGCGCCGCCACCACACTACGCACACCACGCACACGCACACGGCGACAACGTCACGCGCCACCATCACACCACGCACACGCACACGCACACGGCGACAACGTCACGCGCCACCATCACACCACGCACACGCACACGCACACGGCGACAACGTCACGCGCCACCATCACACCACGCACACGCACACGCACACGGCGACAACGACACGCGCCGCCACCACACCACGCACACGGCGACGACGTCACGCGCCGCCACCACACTACGCACACCACGCACACGCACACGGCGACAACGTCACGCGCCACCATCACACCACGCACACGCACACGCACACGGCGACAACGTCACGCGCCACCATCACACCACACACACGCACACGCACACGGCGACAACGTCACGCGCCGCCACCACACCACGCACACGGCGACGACGTCACGCGCCGCCACCACACTACGCACACCACGCACACGCACACGGCGACAACGTCACGCGCCACCATCACACCACGCACACGCACACGCACACGGCGACAACGTCACGCGCCGCCACCACACCACGCACACGGCGACGACGTCACGCGCCGCCACCACACTACGCACACCACGCACACGCACACGGCGACAACGTCACGCGCCACCATCACACCACGCACACGCACACGCACACGGCGACAACGTCACGCGCCGCCACCACACCACGCACACGGCGACGACGTCACGCGCCGCCACCACACTACGCACACCACGCACACGCACACGGCGACAACGTCACGCGCCACCATCACACCACGCACACGCACACGCACACGGCGACAAAGTCACGTGCCGCATATTTTTAATTAAATAATGATTTAGCCCGAGTCGCATCTTGAAATACCCAGACCGCAATTTAGATTAGGCAATGTGTATGTCCCTGTACTGAACATATTTAAAGTCGGACAACCGCAAGTATATTGCGATAACTAGGTGAACGCAGATCGCTCAACACTACCATGCAATAGTAGAAATTTAAATTGTCGTAACACAAACAAAAACTTTAGGAAAAAACAGTATATTTCCCAATATTTATAAAATACTAATATAGTAATTATAAACAAAAATAAAAAAAATATTAAAAAAAATTTACGATTATATTTATTTTTCCTTTGTTCGTGCATTTCCTAACTTCTCATACATACAATGTATGATAATGAATAATATGTATGTTTGCAGGCTCGCAAGGATGTGGCTGCCATACAGAAGGACATACAAACAGTGCAAAAGCAGATATCGAGTATCGAGTCGCGCATCGAGAGCAAGCGGAGCGAGCGGCACAACATACTCAGGCAGTGCAAGGTTCGTCGGTTGCAACTTGTATTAATGTAATTTGTAAAAGTGTAGAAGATTAAAAACAATTGTAGTTTAGAAACTTTACCGAACAAGATGTTATTTTGGGGAAGTTCATATTACTAGTTAGTTAATTAGAATGATTTAACATTAAGTGAATGTAGTAATGTGCCGGCGCCGCAGATCGACGACATCAACATCCCGCTGGCGGAGGGCAGCCTGGAGGAGGCGGAGGAGTCGGAGCCGTCGTCGCTGAGCACGGGCGCGCAGGCGCAGCGCGAGGCGCGCGTGCGCGTCGACTACAGCGCCCTCGCCGACGGGCTGCGGGACCTCGACGACCCCGACGACATCAAGCGCAAGGCCGACAAGCTGCAGAAGGCCATCAACTCGCTGCAGAACACCGTCGACAAGATACAGGCGCCCAACATGAGGGTGTGCTCCTTCCTTCCTTCCTTGTGACGTCACATATTCCACGAGAGCTTTTTTTTTATGGGTAAAAATGGTATGGTAACCCCGCCTGCGCTAACGGGATACGCTGGCGGAGCACCAGTGAAGGGTGATAGATGAGAATGAAAACAGGCCAGTTAGCCCATCATGATGAATTTATCAGGAATTAACCATGATAGTTTCCAGGGAGAACCGCGAGGTCGACCTGGTTGGGTATATTGCAAGCAATGGGATTCTCAGTCTCCATTACTAACAATCCCTTTCCCCCCTGGAATATAATATTAGGAAGTTATTTCAAACATTTTCTTATGTTCATGGACAGTGTTTAGTTACGTTACCGTATCACAAATTATTATTGATTGTGATATTGATAAAAAAAAGCGCGCGTGGGATCGAGCGGACGCCAAATGACGTCCCGTTGACGTTAATGACTGATCTTCGGCGCAGTGTGACTGCGAACGTGACCCTATCCTTGACTGTTAAACATTTCGCAGGCGATGCAAAAATTGAACGAGGTCCGCGAGAAAGTGAGCGCGACCAACGAAGCGTTCGTGGCGGCCAGGAAGCGGGCGCACAAGGCTAAACTGGCGTTTGAAAGGGTAATTTATTTTAATAATTCATTATTTATGTATTTGTATATTGTAAACGCAAGTTAATTTTTTTAATATTTTTTAAATTGATGAAAATGGAATGGTAACCCCGCTGCGCTATCAGTATACGCTGTTGGGACACCAGTAAGTCATGATAGACAAGGATGAAGCGGGTCAGTTGGCCCGTCGTGATGAATTCATCAAAAATTAACCACAATCGTTTATAGGCGGAACCATGTAGTGGTTTTGATGGGTGAAAATGGTATGTTAGCCCCGCCTGCGCTAACGGGATACGCTGGCGGAGCACCAGTGAAGGGTGATAGATGAGAATGAAAACAGGCCAGTTAGCCCATCATGGTGGTCTTTTCTATACCGGGACCACACGGCCGTTATATATGGATGCACGAGGCTGAAGCTACGAGTAAGATAATCTTTATTGTTTCCTTCAAAAGATTACAATAGTAAACTTATTATACATATAAACAATTACAAAAAATAATCACAGTGAGAAAACAATGGGCGACCTTATCGCTAAGAGCGATCTCTTGCAGGCAACCTTTGGATAGAGAGGAGTTATTATAAACAATTTGATTGGAGGCACGATGAAGATCCTGTTATTTCTAAATATGGAGATGTGATACATGTAATAATGTAAACATATATTCCTACTTATGATATATATGTGTAAAAAATGTAAATTGATGTTTACATATGGTTACAGGTGAAAAAGGAGCGTCACGACAAGTTCATCGATTGTTTCGACCACGTCGCCAACGAGATCGACGCTATTTATAAGGTACGCAACTAGAGATAGACTCGCAACAGACAGCCGCACGCCACCGGAGACACCGACGACGACTATTCGACGAATGGAATAATAATTTACAAAAATGTAATATGATGTAGATATTATAGTTTGTAGGAAAAACATATCCAACTCCTATGATTCGTTTTGGATTGACTCCTATGATTTGTTTATCCATACACGTTCGGAATATTTGCCCTACATATGTTACAAAGTGTGTTTGTGTGCGCGTGCGCAGGCGCTGGCGATGAACCAGTCTGCGCAAGCGTTCCTGGGCCCCGAGAACCCCGAGGAGCCGTACCTGGACGGCATCAATTACAACTGCGTGGCGCCCGGCAAGCGCTTCCAGCCCATGTCCAACCTTTCCGGCGGTGAGAAGACCGTCGCCGCGCTCGCGCTACTCTTCGCCATACACAGGTACGTGGTGTTGTGGAAGCGGCCTGCTACTGCCTTCACAGCATTATACATTCACTTATAAGGATAAACTCGTCTTTAAATGAAGGTATTATCAATGTAAAGAACAATTAATAGTCTAGGCTTTAGATGACAGGCCTTTGCCATAATCTGAAAAATTACAGGATAATTTAAGACACATTGCACTGTCTAGATGTGTTCGTTGGACAACTGGTAGGAATAATTTTTACACTGTGTTAATATTACTGTCACCAAGCTGATCAGTTGCTTTCATATGGCATTGAAGTGATCAAGTTTTATCTTTTTACACCGTATTTGTGTTCTTTCATTCCTGTAATCCTTTCTGATATGTTTGAGATGAAAAGGATGACACATTTACTTCATTGCCATTATGAATTGTAAATATTACATTAGTATAAAGAACTCTTTTCTACATGTTGAATTTTATAAGAGATAAGGCTGGCTAACCCTCTTACGGATCACGTGCTTAGTTTATTTTTTATTTATTGTTAAACTAAAAACAAATATATAATAAATGATAACTGTACCTGCTCGAATACAGGTCAATACTTATGTTTGTTATGTGTACAGTTTTTAAGAAAAAACTCTCTGCATTCAACCGTGTGGCGTGAAAATATTTTATTTGGAATTTGTTTCTAAAATTTTGCATTAAAATAGTCTTCAAGTGAATAAAAACATTTCTCAATAACCTTCAAGAAAAGAGTATATTCTTTTATAAAAGGCCGGCAGCACACCTGCAATGCCGTTGGTGTTACAACACAGGTACAACTTACAGGTGATCATGGGCGGCGGTAGTCACTTACCATCAAGTGAGCCGCATGCTTGTTTGTCCTCTGTGTTGTAAAAAAATAATCCAATTGTAAAGTTTTTTATTTTTTTTATCTGTCAGATCCCTGTATTCTGTCGGTAATTTATTATATATTTTTGCTGCCATGTAGTAATAAATCTTGTACTGTGTACAGTTACCAGCCGGCGCCGTTTTTCCTGCTGGACGAAATCGATGCGGCCCTAGACAACACAAACATCGGCAAGGTGGCCTCCTATATCCGCTCCAAGAAGGGCTCGCTGCAGACCATCGTGATCTCGCTGAAGGAGGAGTTTTACGGCTGCGCGGACGCACTCGTCGGCATATGTTCCGAGGTGAGGTCGCGGCGCATTTGTAAACAGGACGTTTATGTACAGTCACCAGAGGGAGACTTTGTACAAAAGTCGTTTGCTCGGGTACCTCTGTCCCATTCGTGTTTCAATCATGAAGTAGTTGTGTTTGCTTGGCCATGTTTCGACTTGAATTTGCAGGGTACAGAGACATAACACTTTAGTCCTTAGGAATGAAAACGCGTGGAAGGGTATCATGGGCAAAACAGTATACTCTGTTGTGTTCATGGTACTGCTCATGTCTATAGGCGACGGTTACCACTTTCCATCAGGTGGGCCGTCAGCTTGTTTGCCATTCTAAGTTGTATAAAAAAAAATATTTAATCCCTTAAAATTGTTTACTTCATTTCATACTGTATAATTAAGTTAAAGTGAATGCTGTGAACACCTATAATAGGCATGTGCATTAATATTGTATTGTATTTAATGTTTTTTTTTATACAACTTAGAACGGCAAACAAGCTGACGGCCCACCTGATGGAAAGTGGTAACCGTCGCCTATAGACATGAGCAGTACCATGGACATAACAGAGTATACTGTTTCGCCCATGATACCCCCCATGAGTTGCTATTCCTGAGGACTCAGATGTTATTCCTCTGTACCCTGTAAATTCACGCTATATCCCACCCTTCAAACCGAAACACAGCCAGCCAGCTCTGTTTGTTATATGTGTTTTAATGCAATATGCTGTTGGTGTTCCTATAAATAAATAAATACATTTATTTCTTATTTGCAGCCCGCGGATTGTCTCGTCAGTGACGTCATCACACTCAGCCTCGAGAAATACGACGACTAGAATTTTTTTAAATATTTAGGCTACTCATTCCCCCTCGAGATAACTCTAACAATGACATTCTGTAATACTAAGTGTTAAGTTTATAAGGACTTGGTGATATACAAAAAGTTATTTCACAAAATAATATCTTCTCGGTAAAATAAAAGGTTTTATTTAAATATGTAACTCTTTTATTTACAATAAAATACTTATGTTACATCTTACTCTACAGCTGTTATACAGTTCGAGAGACAATGATGAAAATGTTGTACAGTGCGTCAGTGGGGCTTGCGTGGCCTACTCGTGTATATTGAATAACAATCATTATATAACATTCATAGCTATTATAGTGAAAGATCGATTAGAAATAACTCCGCCATAAGTTAATTAAAGTGGCTAGATTAATTAAAATAGATTTATTTTAACCCTTCTTTGCATAATGGTGGAAATTTCTATCATAACATTGAATGCCCAAAATTATATAAAAGACCAAGTTCACTTTAAGTTGATCGTGTCTGGATACCTTTTTAATGTCCATTGCAAAAAAACAAAACATAGCTGTCAAATTTATTTTTTTAACCATTTCTCCTTTAATTTTTAACATGAATTATATCACCTTGATTTATTTCATTAATAAAAAAATAATGGTATCACCGTTGTTCGTTTCTTAAAATATCAATATTAATATCATGTACTCAGACCTGCAATCTCTTAAAGCAGTGAAACAATCAAGCTTCTAAATCGACGCAATCAGAAGATACGGCCGTTTATATTCCATTTATATCGCATATTTTAACATTCACAAAGGGAATCAAATCCTATTGACCTAGAATCATGGAATTTGGCAAAAAGCAATATCATACAACACAAGTAAAGGAAAAAAAATTGAAAACCGTAAATTTGTAGTTATTTCACAAAAAAAAAATTAATACTTGATTTTGTACGGAACCCTCGTTGCACGAATCCGACTCACACTTGAATCGATTTTTTTTAAATATACAAATACAAATCAAGCACGCGACGTTTATCTCGCGTGCTCGCAAGCCCCAAATGTAATTAATGTAAAGAGAAATGTTCATACTGATGGCGATAGCAGTAACAATCTATATCATATATCGTATATCACTACGAACGATAACGTAACGCGTCTAAACTAAAACTATGACATATTTACATTTAGTAAAGATGGATGGAAAATAAATGTTTTAATCATTAGATTGATTAGAATTGTTTAAAAATATACACTGGACATAATATCAAAAATGACAAAAGGTACCAACTGTTTAAATATTATTATAACCTTAACTAGTGCTGTACTTGTCACTGTGGATGGTATAACATACGTCTCACTTTGTCAAATTTGATATTTTTATAAAATCATAAAAGGGATTTATTTAACTATACAATTAAATTACTGGGCTGCATCTGTTATCACTTATTAATTTAGAAATCGAATCAGCGTTCTGTCGTTTGATCCTGCACCCCTAGATGGATGGCAGACAAATATATGTAGACAGTTGTTCAGGTATATCTTATTCTTTCCTATGATCACGTGGGAAAGAACAAAATATCTTATTCCAGTATTTTTCAATCTTTTTCACGACGCGACCCCCTTATTATGTGAAAATATCTTGCGACCCCCCCCCCCTACCCTTCACGGTTTCGAATGTGTATAAATTTTATTATAGTACAATTATGAAATCCGTACAGTTGTACTTCACAGTTAGGTATCAAGATTAAATAAAATAAATAATACATAATAAAGTATTTAAAACAGACATGTAATTGATGTCTGTTGTAGACACTTTAGTATCTACTTCACTATGTATTACAGATTGCTTGATGTATTTGCGGAACTGTTGGTTGCGACCTCCCGCGACCCCCTTGTAGAGGGCCGGGGACTCACCGAGTGGCGGGTGGCGGGTGGCGGGTGGCGGGTGGCGGGCCGGTCAGTCTGGCGAGCGCGGCGGGTCGGTGCTGAAGTAGGGCGCGGCGTGCGGCTGCAGCAGCGTGCGGCACACGGCGCACACGCGCGCCGGCGCCCGCCGCGGCCCGCTCGCCACGCTGTGCGACGCGCACGCCGCGCAGAAGATGCGCCCGCAGTGCCGGCAGTGCACCTGCACACGCACACCACACAAATACAAATCATTTATTTATTTACCAGAGGGAGACTTTGTACAAAAGTCGATTGCCTGGACCCGAGTCCTCACAAATGGCAACGCATGGGAGGGTATTATGGACGAAAGAGTATACTCTGTTATGTACAGAGTACTGCTCGTGTCTATAGGCGACGGTTACCACTTTCCATCAGGTGGTCCGTCAGCTTGTTTGCCATTCTAAGTTTATACAACTTTAAAAAAAAAATATTGCATGAATGTGGGTGCATACTGTTAAGGCAGTATCTGTAATGTCTCTGCTATGATGTAGAAATAAAAAAAAAAATTGTTTTATCAAATATGGCGTAAAAAAATATACGCAAAATTATATCGGAAAGTCGGCATTTTTAATTTTATATCAACCTCGGATTAAACATTGGTCCTTACGGGTCGGATCGGATTAGTGAAGAATTTTCAGGTTTTCAGATAGTTATTGGTAATATTAGCTATCACTCGACGTCATAATTGGCAGCGGTCATTGTCTGCAAATTTGCGGAAATTAGTAATATGCTTTCGGAGTGAGTTCTGTGTACGCTCTGTTTGTGAGTACATAAATATTTTATATTTTAAAGTGGATAAATAATGTTCAATAACATCAAAGTAGTGAATTCATAGAAGATTTTTATAATATTAAGGAAATAAGATAAACATTTCTTGTTAAAATTATCGATTAATTTTACGGACTTTCAAATTTAGTGGTATAATAATTCCACGAACATTTGAATTTTGTTGTATTATAATTAAAGTTTATTTTTTCTTAGACCGAGAGTTGTCGTTGCGTTCGAAATTTGAAAATTGTACGTATCATAATTTTATGTAGGTTGCATAATAATGTACTCGTAATTATTACTAGACAATGAGAACTTGTTTGTTTGTAGTTACAAAATTTCATTATTTTACGTTTTGTTTTTACTATTCTGCTATCAGAATAGAATTAGCTTTGTTTAACATTAACGAACATGGATTCTATTATTAAATGTCAATACGATTTACATTCATTACAAATAAATATAAATCAAATTTTAAAAAGAGTCCTTGAGAAAGACTCACTAATGAATATATCGAAACACGACTCGAGATAGTAGAGCGTGCGTATACAACGTAGTACAACATGCGTTGTAGTGACTCAGGTAAATAATTCAGGTTATGTAACGGAAGAGGTTTATGATAAGACGGAAGAGCTATATTTAGAGTATAAAAGTGAATTAAAACTAATTTTAAATAATTTTGATAAGAAAGTAAAAACAAATGTAACAGAGGTTTTTTTTTTATATACAACATAGAATGGCAAATAAGCTGACGGCCCACCTAATGGAAAGTGGTAACCGTCGCCTATAGCCATTAGCAGTATAATGGACATAACAGAGTATACTGTTTCGCTCATGATACCCCCTATACGTTGCCATTCCTGAGGACTCGAGTGTTATTCCTCTGTACCCAGTAAATTCACGCCATTTCCCACCCTTCAAACCGAAACACAGCCATGCAAACACAAATGCTTCACGGTTGAAACACGAATGGGACAGAGGTACCCAAGCAATCGACTTTTGTACAAAGTCTCCCTCTGGTAAAATAAAAATACAATAAAAACAATGTCAATAATAATAAGCCAATCGATAAATGATATTGTATGTATCTGATATTTATCATTGTAATAGTCATGCAACGTATAGTAACATTTGGCTGTCAAATATTCTTTTGCTTTTTTCTTAAATACATTTAAATTGTCTATTTCCTTAAATGCCTTCGGGAATTTATTATATATTTTTAGAGACCATACCTAAATACATACATACATATATGTCACACCTGTCTCCCATTAGGGTAGGCAGAATAAATAGAACGCCAAATGCTTCGATTCAAACAAACCTCTTTCGCTTAAACCATACCAAAATAAACTTATGAAATAATGCTGTGACGTGAGGCGTGTGCGTGCGATACAATTTACATATCTACAAATAGATTGTGTAAAGGTCGCCCCAGTTCGAGGCACCCGCGAATGACAAGCGTGGTGTACCTTTTTCTTGTTGGTGTGGAGGGGCGCGTGGCACGAGGGGCACTCGTTCACGTCCTCTTCGTGCTGCCACCGCACCTCCGTGTCCGCCTCGCGGATACGCTGCAGTTGTACCTGCCATGTATCGTTAAAAATTAAAAAAAAAAAATACAACAAATATATTTTACTATGTCATTAACATAGTAAAATATATTTATTGTATAAAACTAAAGTCAAACTGCAGTTGCCAAACGTGGCAACGACTGGCAAAATCTCTTATGGGAGAAGCCTATGCTCAACTGTGGACAGCTAACAGTTTATATGGTACTACGTCAATGCTCTATTTCAAAATTAACTTTTAATCCAAGAGGTTTTCATGTAGCATTTTTTTTCAAAATTCATTTTTTTTTATACTACTTAGAATGGCTAACAAGCTGACGGCCCAGCTGATGGAAAGTGGTAACCGTCGCCTATAGACATGAGCAGTATCATGGACATAACAGAGTATACTGTTTCGCCCATGATACCCCCCATGCGTTGCCATTCCTGAGGACTCAGGTGTTTTTCCCCTGTACCCAGTAAATTCACGCCATATCCCACCCTTCAAACCGAAATACAGCCATGCAAACACAGCTGCTTCACGGTCGAAACACGAATGGGACAGAGGTACCCAAGCAATCGACTTTTGTACAAAGTCTCCCTCTGGTAATATAAATTATTATTATCTTATCAGCTTTAACCTGTCCACTGCTGAACATAAGCCTCCCATTGAGGGAGATTTGCCAGCAGTTGCCTCGCTTGGTAGGCGGATTGGCAACCGCAGTTAGGCTTTACAGATTTTTTAAGAGGGACACCGCTGCCCATCCTTCGCCCTCCCTTGGGCGCTTCTTACTACACCTGTGGGAAAGAAAGGGGTGGCCTATTCTATGCAGGGACCACACGGCTCATGTCTAGAGATTACAGTCTTGATTTCTTCAAAAAGGGTATGTTAAAATTTCTTTATAACTGTAAACTAACTTAACTTGCTAACTAGCAAACGCGCACGTGACAACCCTAGTGCTGCAGGCGTCCAATACGCTATAGACTATAGGATGCGATCACTGCCAATCCTATAAACGTAACTGTGGCTGGACTAACTCAGCTGCCTGCGATTGTGGTACTCCAATACAAGATATTGCTTTTAAGCAAAACTATCACTGAGCTGTAGCCTATTTGGGTCACTGCGACACACTTGGTATATCTTGACATATCTCCAATATTCATTATATTTGAAAAAATGTAAATAATCAGATTGTATAAATTTATTTATTAATTTACATGTGTCATAAATGGCTCAAATAAAAAAAAAAAAAGATATCAGCCATATTGTGCAAGACTACCAATTATGTAAATACAAGGGTAATCCAACAGCCTTGTTCCCATGGAGAATGACTCAATCACTGTGGTGAAGAAAATAATAACAGAACAACTGATATACCATACAATTAAATAAATAAATAGGCTGCAATGACCGTTTACCATCAGGGAGGCTGTATGTTTGTTTTCTAGCTTAATGACAAGAAATACCATTATACCCTTCAATAGTAAGAAATATGTAAGTGGCATATAAAACTCGCCTGCAGCGACTGCGAGAGGCGCACGAAGTCCTGCTGCACCTTCTCGCTGTTATCGAGCTCCTGCTGCAGCACCGACACGCGGCCGCGCGTCTCCTGCACCTCCGCCTGCAGCCGCTTCTGTTCGTGGCACACACGCACACACAAACACACACACACAACGTTATTATTCAGTCATCATATTTTATGCAACTTAGAATGACAAACAAGCGGATGGAAAGTGGTAACCGTCGCCTATAGACATGAGCAGTACCATGGACACAACAGAGTATACTGTTTCGCCCATGATACCCCCCATGCGTTGCCATTCCTGAGGACTCAGGTGTTATTCCTCCGTACCCAGTAAATTCACTGCCACCCTTCAAACCGAAACACAGCCATGCAAACAACTTCTTCACGGTAGAAACACGAATGAGACAGCGGTGCCCAAGCAAACTTTTGTACAAACTCTCCTTCTGGTATTATATGTATATGCTTATATGTAAACCTAACGATAAATACGTTTTCGCTGCCATATGTATGCCACTAGTTGCATTAAATTGAATAATTTATTCTACCAATTATTGTACTAGATATTTGTAATGGTTCTATAACATTTAAAGAGTTAAATATTTGAAGTCTATACACATATAATTTTATGGATTTTTTTATGCAACTTAGAATGACAAACAAGCTGACGCCCCACCTGATGGAAAGTGGTAACCGTCGCCTATAGACATAACAGAGTATACTGTTTCGCCCATGATACCCCCTATGCATTGCCATTCCTGAGCACTCAGGTGTTATACCCGTGTACCCTGTAAATACACTGCCATATTCCACCCTTCAACCTGAAATACAGTCATGCAAACGACTTTTGTACAAAGTCTCCTTCTTTCTTATTTTGATACATTCAAGTTGTACTCATAAATCTAATCACAGTTGAAAACGTGATAAGTTTTTGGTCATAACTCCAATTTGCTTAGTAGATATACGTCTACAGGTAAATAAACTGTCTTAAGGGGGGAAAGGGATTGTTAGCAATGGAGTTTGACAGTCCCATTGCTAGCAATATGCTTTATCAGGTCGACCTCCACGTGGTTTCCCCTGGAAACCATCGTGAACAATTCTTGTTGAATTCATCACAATGGGCTAACTGACCTGTTTCATCCTCATCTATCATCCCTCACTGGGGCCTCGCCGGTGTATACCAATAGCACGGGTGGGATTACCATTCCATTATCCCCCATTAAAAAAACCTGTCTATCTTAGTTTAACATAAATGTAACATGTTTTTTCTCTTTAACATTACTTATTTATATATTAAAGGTCAGTCTCCAAGCAGGCAGCCATGAACGGCTGTGCAAGGTACGGTGCGGTGAGTACCTTATCGTCGAGCAGGCCCTCGATCATGTCGTTGGAGTGGCGCAGCTTGTCGCCGAGCTCCTTCATCTGCTCGCGCTCTGTCTGCAGGCAGTCCAGCTGCTCACTGCGCGCGTGACATGCAACCACACGACACAACATTGCTGTTTCATCTATATCATCAACATCTAGTAACGTGAATTAAGGGAAATACCGCGCCCATCGCAAGGGCGTCACATTTTAAAACAATTTCAAATAGAATTAAGACAAATTTTGAATATGAATAAATTTCATTTATACGATATAGGTATAGTTTCTGACTAATTTATGATTGCAGATTGTAAAAGTTTAATTATTAAATATTTTGTAGAGTTTTGCCAGTAGTTGCCACGCTTGGCAGGCGGGTTGGCAACCGCAGTTAGGCTTTTACATATGTTTTAAGAGGGACACTGCTGCCCATCCCTCTACTAGATGCCTCCTTAGTCGCCTCTTACGACACCCACGGGAAAGGAAGGGGTGGCCCATTCTACGCCGGGACACACACGGCAAATTATTAAATATGAATATATAATATTTAATTGAATTGCAATATATATACTACGCAATATATATACTGTAGCAATTAGACTAAACTTGGCTAAATTGTACCACATTGTTTAAATTAGTTGTTTCCAAGAAATAATATAAGCAAAATGAAAAAAAATTATGAGCTGAAACTGAAGTGTTGCTGGTGGAACAGCGCGGCCTGCTGCAGCAGCTGCGGCCGAGGGGGTCAGGGAGGAGTGGCGGGGCTCACTTGGCGGCCTTGAGGTCTGCGCGCAGGGCGGCGAGCTGCTGCTCCTGCTGGTGGAACAGCGCGGCCTGCTGCAGCAGCTGCGGCCGAGGGGGTCAGGGAGGAGTGGCGGGACTCACTTGGCGGCCTTGAGGTCTGCGCGCAGGGCGGCGAGCTGCTGCTCCTGCTGGTGGAACAGCGCGGCCTGCTGCAGCAGCTGCGGCCGAGGGGGTCAGGGAGGAGTGGCGGGGCTCACTTGGCGGCCTTGAGGTCTGCGCGCAGGGCGGCGAGCTGCTGCTCCTGCTGGTGGAACAGCGCGCCCTGCTGCAGCAGCTGCGGCGGAGGGGGGCAGGGAGGAGTGGCGGGGCTCACTTGGCGGCCTTGAGGTCTGCGCGCAGGGCGGCGAGCTGCTGCTCCTGCTGGTGGAACAGCGCGCCCTGCGGCCGAGGGGGTCAGGGAGGAGTGGCGGGGCTGCGCGCGCGCGCAGGGCGGCGAGCTGCTGCTCCTGCTGGTGGAACAGCGCGCCCTGCTGCAGCAGCTGCGCGCGCAGCCCGCGCTCCGCCTCGGCCGCCTCCTCGCGCCCGATCTGGCAGAAGATCAGCTGCTCGCGCACGCGCAGGATGTGCTCCTGCAGCTCCTGCCAGCCGCAACAAACTATGAATTTAACAAAGCCAGCCAGTGTTCTAAGAATCATAACAGATATAGTTTGCAGGAAATGGCTTAACTGTTCAAGTCAAGCCAGCGCAGTACGTTTTCATGTTTAAAATTGTTAATGTGCAGGTTGCGTAGTGTTTATCACATTTACAATTGATAATATAGTTTAACTATTGATAATTATTTATAGGCGACAGTTATATTTTTTTATTACGTGGCCCATCGGTTTGCTATTTCAAGTAGTTTAAAAATCAAATCGTAGAACCCGCATACTTCATGGTCCTTCAAGCCGGATATGAAACAACGATTTACAGATATTAGGTACATAATATTGAATGATTAAACGCGATTTGTAAAAATATGTCTTTCTAAAGTTTTTTGTGTTAGACAAGTTTTAAACCGAAGTCGTTCTATACGAGTTTTAGCCTACGAGAAGAAATCTACGCCCGTTATTTAAGCAAATAAAATAGGCTTAGATATTTGACAATATTTCACTTTTTTACACGAAGAATATGAAAGTCGCAGTAACCTCGACATTGTCTGGCAAGTCTATAATCTCATTCTGCATCTCGGCCGCCTTCTTCGTGTATTGACCGATCAACATAGCGTTGTCTCTCTCTAAACTGTAACAAAATGTAGCTAGTCAGTAAAGAGTAACTAAACATACTTATCACTTTTATTTTTTGGTTTGTTGCAAGAGATTAGTAGATTAGTAGGAAAATTAGAAAAGAAACAATGATACGCCACCTGGCCCGTCTAATAATAACAGACTATATCTTCCTTTTATGACGATATCCGTACTTCATTTTTCCGTTTTTGATTAATGACTTTGTTCCTGCCCGTAGTGAGACATACAAATTGAGAGTAAAAGCACGTACGTGTCGAGCTTCCGCTGCAGCATCTCGCGGTCGACGGTGAGGTGGGTGACGGTGTGCAAGGCGCGCTGCTGCGCGGCGGCGGCGGTGTCCTCGCGCTCGTGCAGCGCGGCGCGCGCGGCGGCCAGCGCGGCGCCCAGCTCGGCCAGCTCGGCCGCGGACGCCGCGCGCGCCGCCTGCCACGCGCGCACCGTCTCGTCGTGCAGCGACCGCACGCCCTCCAGCTCCTCCGTCGCCTGCGCACCCGCCCACCACAACCACTATTAACACCATCCTACTACCAGAGGAAAGGGATTGTTAGCAATGGAGTTTGACAGCCCCGTTGCTAGCAACATGTCCTATTAGGTCGACCTCGAAACCATCGTGAACAATTCTTGTTGAATTCGTCACGATGGGCTTGCTGACCTGCTTCATCCTCATCTATCATCTCCCACTGGTGCCCCGGCGGTGTGTACCGATAGTGCGGGTGGGGTTACCATTTCATTATATTGACACCCTCCTACTACCTTGTATCCTCGAGATGAAGTAAGTCCTTTATAATAATATTATTACATCTCTTAAGAAATAATGTTTACTCTGTATTTGTTGTTACTTTAATTTTTTCATAAATTTTATATAAAAATTAAAATACACTAGAGCCTGTTGTAGTGCGTGTGCGTGTGCGTGCGTGGTGTGTGGGTCGTACATACCAGTTTGAGCGCGCGGTGGTTTGTTGTGGCGCGTTCGAGAGCCGCTTCCGCGGCCGCCTGCTCTGACACCAGCTGCTTCTCGTAGTTCGCGCACATGTCGCACTGCCGGCTCGTGTCTGCAATGCCGATAGGTATAATATATCTATGTATTGTGGCTACAATATCTATACATTAAATTAGTAATAGATATTGTAAATATTGGTTACTTGATATATAATATAAAAACGAAGAATCTGATCGAAATTGAATATAGATATCCAACCAGTATGGACTGTATCCAAATAGGCGATGAACATATTTTTCACCATAAATGTACAGAGGAATCCAATATATTGTTATCGGGGCGATACCGATATTACCCATGCCCAGTTTGCAATCGACACTAGCAGATTATATACCACAAAAAAAAAACAACGATTCGTAGTTCATATGTTTCGTAGGCATATTACATTTCAAATATTTTAATTTAAAATAATTAGACATGACATCAACACAGGAGCAAACTCTTACAATTATTCCGTAATTAAGTAACATACATAAAAGAAACAAATACAGGCAAATCGAAAACAACGTAACTTTTTAAGAGAATAACAAAATTACTAACCAACATCAGGTTTGTCGCCGCTAGAACTACCCGCTGTAGGACTGCTGGATGTTGCTGATTTTACTTTTTGCTGAAATAATTTTATTACATAAATATACCTACAACGATAAAATAAAAAAAAAAGCTAAGAGAGAAGAAAAAGAAAATAGATTGCCCATTTCATCAGTGACATCATATTAGGGTCCTTTCCGTGTTAGTATGCTTTCCAACAAATAGTTAAAAATATTAGTTTCAATATTGCACTTAGAGAACGAGGACGAGGCCCAGTCTGGTGATTCTGTGACACAAAATATTAACCTAATAAGGTACCAATATTTGACTATTCTTCCTTTCTCGTTGGTGTCGTAAAAGGCGATTAAGGGAACCTATTACTGGAAAAACCTCCAAGGGGGAGGCTTATATTAAGCAGTAGACAGTTAAGGTATGATGATGATGATGAGTAACGTAGCATTTTCTTTTTTTTTATAATTACATACGATTATCTCATCATGAACAACAATAATACAAGGACAACATGGTCCATGAATGCAATCAACCATAAGAGAATGTTCTACTCCCAACGGTTGCCGGCTCATTAAGCACTTGTCTTTTCACATTTTTACACTGACACATTTTCAGAAACAAACTCGATGCATGGTGCATCTGCGTGGTGTGTTTACCAGAGCCTCCTGCAACTGACAGTCGGTGTCACGCAGCTTGCCCTTGAGCACCACAATCTCGTCGTTCAGCGGCTGGATTATGGACCGCATCAGCTCGCTGTCCTCCGCGCCCTGGCGTTACAAAACATAAATATATTAATATACACAATAATATTTGGGCTAAAATCTTCGGCATAATATTATCATGATTTTCTCATTTATGTTTTAGTCTACGAACAACTTTGACTATCTCTTTTTTTAATGGGGGATGCAGAAATATTAACCCCAACTGCGCTATCAGTATACGCTGGCGGGGCACCAGTGAACGCTGATAGATGAGGATGAAGTAGAATCAGTTAACCTATCGTGACGAATTCAAGAATTAACCACTATGGTTTCTATGAGAAACCGCATGGAGATAGAACTGTTATAGTATATTGCTAGCAATGGAGTTACTAAACCCAAATCAATGGAGTAACAATCCCTTTCCCCCAGCTGTGACTGTCAACTCTACTTTGGTCAACTTAAGAATGTACATACATACATATACATATCTGTCACGCCTGTCTCCCATTAGGGTAGGCAGAAACAATGGAACGCCAAATGCTTCGATTCAAACAAACCTCTTTCGCTTCCTCCACATTCATCAATCTTGTCATACACGCTCGTCGGTTACGGGTACTTTTAATTTGGCCCTTCTTCAGCACGTCGCCTATTTGGTCGACATACGTCCGTCTAGGGCGGCCCCTACCGACATCTCCATTCATTCTTGCTCGATAAATCTCTTTCGTAATTCTTCTTTCATCCATCCTCTCCAAATGACCAAACCAACGCAACATTCCTTTTTCGATTTTGGTCGCTACATCGACTTTCAGTCCACACTTCTCTCTAATCACACTTATTTATTAAACGAGAGGCTAGGTATAAAAATGATTGGTTAAAGACTAAGAAATCTTGGACATTGTCTATGTTAGTGAGTTTGTCTATGGAGATGTCACCATAGAATATCTCCCTTATTTATAAAAATGTCAAACCTATTTTAACTATTGCAATTTTTTGTCTTTTTCTTTTATGCTAAATTTTTAATCTGCAAGACAATGACAAAACTTTCTAATACTTAAAACATATTCGTGCTAAGTTTTAGTTTTTATGAATAACAGGGTAAAGTTACAGACAGTTTGTAAAAACTTTAAATTTAAGATGTTTCGTATGTAATCTAAAGGAGTTTAAAGTAAATCTTGTACATAGATTTCTTTGGATGACTTTTAGAATGGCAAACAAGCTAACAGTACACCTGATGGAAAGTGGTAACCGTCGTCTATAGACATGAACAGCACCGTGGACTAAATAAAATATCATAATATGCCCATAACACCCCCCTTCCCACGCGTTGCCATTTCTAAGGACTAGGATGTTATGTATCTGTACCCTGTAATTTCACTGCCATATCATAATCTTCAAACCGGGGGGGAAAGGGATTGTTAGCAATGGAGTTCTACATTGCTAGCAATATGCCCTATCAGGTCGACCTCCACGTGGTTCCCCCTGGAAACCATCGTGAACAATTCTTGTTGAATTCATCACGATGGGCTAACTGACCTGCTTCATCCTCACCTATCATCCTTCACTGGTGGGGCACCAGTGCTTACCGGGGGCCGGTGTATACTAATAGCGCGGGTGGGGTCACCATTCCATTATCACCCATTAAAAAAAAACCTACAAAACAGTCACGAAAGCACAGCTTTTTTACAGTAGAAATACGAATGGGACAGATTAAATTACAACCTTATTTATTAGCACATTGAACACTATTCACCGAGATTAAGGTAAGCAAATGTAATGAATACTTCATTACATTTGCTTACCTTAATCCCGTCAAATTAAAACTGGACTCTATAAGAGAACTGGATTCACAGATGTTACTTACTGTATCAAGAAACGAAAGTGGAGGTGGGCAGGACATATGGTTGGAATGAATAAAGAAAAATGGTCTAAGGATATTACAGAGTGGTGTCCGAGACAATAGAAGAGAAAAAAAGGGAGACAGCGTCGTAGATGGGAAGACGATATCAAAAACATAGCGAGACACACCTGGAAAAGACAAGCGCAGAATCGCATTCAGTGGCGAACTCTAGGGGAGGCCTATGGTATAAGGTAGGCAAATGTAATGAATAACATTACCTTCTTAGCGGGCTGGTCGGCGTCGGCGTCGGCGCCAAGCTTGCGCGCGAGCGAGCGCACGAAAGTGGCCGGCGCCAGCGACACCTCCTGCCACACGCCGCGGGCGGTCATGTCACGCAATGTCACATACATTACTATTGCCTAATACCACTATTTGTACATCAGATAACATTATTTCCTATACAGGACAATTTTTCCACCGGTTGTAAAACTCATTGTCGATTTAATCACCATGACAGATGCTTTTATCGATCGATTTATGGGATCTTTTTCGAAGAGGGCGTAGGTTATTAAAATGCTTTTATTTTAATCAATCAATCAACAAGGGCTTCCCATGCCCGCCAGATGATCTGTGGGCGGGCGAGGTAGGGGCCTCGGGGTATACCCCACTACCCCGGCTTCAACTCCGGAGGGGACGACCTCCGGGTCGCTGGGTTCTTCAGCCGGCATACACTGGTGGTCTGTGTATGTCGGCGTGGTGTCATTAAAATGCTATTATTTATTAAAATGCTTTTATTTTAAACGGGATAAACTTTTCACACCAGAGGGCGCCACCTTCGTACAAATGGTAGTAGTAATTCTCAATATAATCCATAGGAAATAATATAATAAACATATGTAATTAAAAACTATATTGTTTTTTGTTATTACAATACGCAATTTAATGATAGGTTGCCGATAGCAACATAACGTGGTGTTAATTAAAATGCAGATAAAAACAACTATATATCTACACTAATTATATAAAGAGGAAACATTTGTATTTTTGTGTGTACGTATGTTTGTAATGAATAAACTCAAAAACTACTTTGCCGATTTAAAAAAATCTTTCACCATTAGAAAGCTACATTCACCCTGAATAACATAGGCTATGTTTATTGCTAGAAAACATTAGGGGATCCTTACTAAAACTTTAGTAACGTAACTCAAGTTGTAAAAAAAATGCTATAAAATATATTTCGTCGCGTGCGCTGCGGTTACTATTGGTGATAGAACAAAAGTATGTTCTACAATATTGAAGAAAATATCAATAACTACAAAAAACTTCGCGATACTACATGTCCAACTATTATTGTTATGTCACAATATCCACTTTTTAAAATGTTGTAAAAATGTCCACCCGTGCGAAGCCGGGACGGGCCGCAAGTTTAAGATTTACAATTACATAACAGCTACAATTATTTTAAATGTAAAATTGTTTAATTAACAAAAAGTATAAATAAATGTCGAGCCGTGACACGCGTGTTTGCTCCTACAGTCAATCATACACGAATAACGACAGCTGTATGCGATAGCAAACTGTAATAATGTATGCGGCCGTAAACGCAATGAAGCGGCAGTAGAACATGTTAGAGTCGTGCGGTGTGTCGCACGACTTTTTTACCAACTTCAAAAAAAATAAACTCTTTTTTCGAAAAAAGAATAGGTTCTGAATCCGGTATTTTTTTTAATGGGTGATAATGGGATGGCTACCCCGCCTGCGCCATCGGTATATGCTGGCAGGGCACCAGTGAGTAATGATAGATGAAGATGAAAGCAGGTCAGTTAGCCCATTGTGACGAATTCCACTAGAATTAACCACGATGGTTACCAGAGGGAACCGCGTGGAGGTCGACAAAATAAGAAAGAAGGAGACTTTGTACAAAAGTCGTTTGCATAGCTGTATAATAAATGTATATTACTAACAATGGGCTTATTAGACCCCATTACTTACAATCCCTTTCCCCCCTCTGAATTCGGTTGTACTTGTATATAGTTATGTTTGTTATCTTCAAATTTCCACCAGAGGGAGACTTTGTACAAAATTCGATTGCTTGGGGTACTTCTGTCCCATTCGTGTTTCAACCGTGAAGCAGTTGTGTTTGCATGGCTGTGTTTCGGTTTGAAGGGCCGTGAAGGGATATGGCGTGAATTTACAGAGTACAGAGGAATAACACCTGAGTCCTCAGGAATGGCAACGCATTGTCTGTCTAGAATAATTTATTGATTGAGTCAATTTCAAATTTTATATTAGTAGAAGTCTAAAGCTGACTGCAGTATCTACGGTGCAGGTGTTAAGCATGTCCTAGTATTATGAATTCTAATATTTATCAAAAAGCAAGTATGGAAAGATGAAAAATGGCGAGAATTAATATTGACAAAACGAATAAAAATCATTAGTTTGCGGTAAACCTTATATGTAAATGTAAGATGCGCCAGGGTCTCAGATAAGGCGTTCCAGTAAAAATAACTTGTCGTTAACTTAAGGCAGTTAGTTGTAAACGTTTACAGTACATATCATTTCCGACTTTCCGCCGATAACCAGATAGCGTCAGAGACTAAGGTTGTATGTGTTTGTATTTTATAATGCCTTTATACCTTAAGACTAGTTCTAAAGTCACCTTATGAACTCTAGCGTTAGCTATGAGTATACTGTGCCCATGATACTCCCCATGCGTTGCCATTCCTGAGGACTCAGGTGTTATTCCTCTGTACCCTGTAAATTCACGCCATATTCCCACCCTTCAAACCGAAACATAAATATGCAAACAGCAGTGGGACAGAGGTAGCCAAGTAAACGACCTTTGTACAAAGTCTCCCTCTGGTATATATATATATATATATACATATATTCTTTTATATTTATGAATGTACATTATAATCAGCATTTTATGTTATTTATGTATATATTATTTATTTAGTATATAGGTATACATTATTAGTTGTTACTTTCTTTACCTATCCCAATAATGTAGTACCACGTTCGTGATTCCCTGTTCATTCCAACGGTTGACTGGTAGAGAATGCTACTAGCATTAAGACCGCCTTTTGTATCTTTATTTTGATCAGTAAAGTTATTTAAATAAAAAAAAAAAAAACCTAGTATTTACCCGACAAAGTAAACACAAAACTGAATATAATATTTAAAAAATTTCAATATCATAATGTACTCAGATGTAAATAGATTAATGTGAACAAAAAATCCAGTTGTTACCTGTTGCTGCCGTTGCTGATTGAGCTGGTTGAGCAGCTGTTCTAGCTCCAGGTTCTTGGCGCGCAGCCGTCGTAGCTCCTCCGAGCCGGATGACGACGCCTCCAAGGTCTCTGTAGGGTATTCATTTATAAAAACGACAAGAAAGTGACGTTACAGCTCACTGGTTTACAATCCCGCCCCCCTAGACATGAAGCCAACGAATCAGTCGGTGAAATCGTTTCGGGTAGCTCTCACCTGAGACAGAACAAGCAGCGGAACTGGGGGGAAATCGGATTGTTTAGCAATGGAGTTTGACAGCCCCATTGCTAGCAGTGTACCCTGTTGGGTCGACCTCCACGCTTTCCCCCTGGAAACCATCGTGAACAATTCTTGTTGAATTCGTCACGATGGGCTAACTGACCTACTTCATCCTCACCTATCATCCTTCATTGGTGCCCCGCCGGTGTATACCGGTGGCGCGGGTGGGGTTGCCATTCCATTATCATCCAAGCAGAGGAGCTCGGCGTCTTATTTTCTCTCAGACCAGTTTTTTTAATGGGTGAACATAGAATGGTAGCCCGCCCGCGCTGTTGGTATACGCTGTACCCAGCACCGGTAAGAGATGATGGTCCCTCACTGGTGACAGGTGAGTTAGCCCATCGTGACGAATTCAATGAGAATCAACCACGATTCTTTCCAGGGGGAACTGCGTGGAGGTCGACCTGATAGGATATGTTACTAGCAATGGAGCTGCTATATCCCCATTACTAACAATCCCTTCCCCTTCTTATGGACAAGCTAGCGATAATTAGTCTAGGGGGGCTGTATCATTACACTGGAGTCGACGGTTTGATGCATTGACATTAATTTTATTTTATGAATTTTCGATTTATTTTTTTATACTTTTGAGAATGCCAAAGAAGCCAATTTGCTATCTAATGGTATTACCATATTTTTATATCGTTATTTATTTTTGCGTAAAATAACGTTACTAAGTATTACGCGTAGTAAACTGTAATGTCTAGGAATAAAATTTATTAAATTTCACTAAACGATACTCGTTGCATGTCAGAAATGGCTTAATTTATGGAAATAACTACAGAAATAATAAAACCATCCCAATAACGCTACTTGGGGGGAAGGGATTATTAGTAATGGGGAGGTTAGTCTCCATTGCTATCAATATACCCTATCAGGTCGACCTCCACGCGGTTCCCCCTGGAAACTATCGTGACCAATTTATCATTGAAATCGTCACGATGGGCTAACTGACCTGCCTTTTCATCCTCATCTATCACCGCTCACTGGTACCCCGCCAGTGTATACCGATAGCGCAGGCGGGGTTACCATGTCATTTTCATCCATAAAAAAAAGCGCTACTTTGGGCGACTTTAAACTTATTTTATTTGCAATTCACTGTAATGAATTAAATGTAGTACAAGGACCTTCACGTTACAAGGGTCGGTTACGCGCAAGTGGCTACCATATTGGCGTTGCAAACGGTCATGGGCTGGCTGCATGTTTAATTCTTAGATTACTAGTTATAAACACTTTTTTTTTTATTAATTTTTTGAATCAGAACCAAACCTTGTCTGCCCCATAATGAACAAAACATTAGTATATGTTAAAAATACTTCACCATTCACAAGGTAAATATAAACTAATCTGTGACGAGGAAAATGAATAGGAAAAAAATAAATTGCCAATTTATGGGGAGGGCATTGCACGGCGGGGGACAAATACGGGCTAATGTGGGCTGATATGGCGAACATATTACTGTTTATCGCCTTCCATAGTTATCGAAATGATAAAATACATCGAAACGATTTGAAACGAGGTATAAAACTATCGCTAGTTCACAAATTTATATTTAGGTATTATTAAAAAAATAGATTTCAATACAATCTTTGATTTATTTATTCTTTCCACCACAGCCAGTTGTTGAAACACGAATGGGACAGAGGCTTTTTGTACAGTAGATGTAATATTGCACAAGTACAGTTAATCTTTTCTTATTCACACAGACCTGTTACGGATACTTAAAACCACAAGGAACAACTATTAAAATTAAAATCTTTCTACAAATCTATTTTAACTATCAATATTTTGTCAAATTCTTACAAATTGAAAATTTAGTACAAAAAGAAAAAACAAAACAAAAGCCACTTACCATCAGTTATTGTGGTCCCGCTTACCATCATGTGGGCTTGTTTGTTTGCCACCTCAGTGGTATAAAAAAAAAAGGACCGTAACTAGACCCATGTTTAAGGTAGGGCAAACCTACGTACTTTTTGGTAGGGTAGGAGCCATAATTAAATGACTTCTAAAAAGTTATTTTTTTTTTCATTTTAAATTGGGGCATTGTCTGTCAATGCCCTCCCTCCCATCTCATTTTTATGACAATGACGATTTATATACACCTTTCTCTGTATTGATATTAGGGTAGATACTGACCACTGACAAGTAGCTGCAAATTCTGTATCTCCGACTTCTGGTTATGGGCGAGGGTTTGCAGTTGTTGCAGCTCGTCCCGCAGGCCGACCACCTCCGACTCAAGTTGCTGCTTGTCCTGGGATAATTTTCGCATGTCCTCTGCAAGTTTAGTAGTCGTGTTGGTTACATGTATTATTATTTAGCAAGTTAGATAAAAATCCATATAATTGTCTTTCGAGGGTGAAGCAATAAACTGGGTTGTGGTCATTTTAATACTGTGACACACACAAGATACAATCTGTAATGTGATCTCTATTTTTCCTGTTTTTATGCATGTTCATCTAAGTCGTTACATATGTACTGTAGGTAGATGCAAATAAATTGTTTATCGATCCGTCTATATATATCATATCGATAAAATTTGTATGGGAATAATTTTTATTAATGACTATAATGGAGTTGATGAAGCTATTACAAAATATATAAAACAAAAATTACAAACAAATTGAGAACATTTCTGATTTTTTTTTAAAATAATCAATTATTAGTAATAAAGGCAGAGTCGACCACGGTCAGCCTAGGGTTAAAACTAGACAAGGACACAATGTAGAACCGAGCACCCAGATTTGAATATTATATGAATATACCAATTATTACATTATTTTTCCTTTATCCAATAATGCACCACCTACTTATTTCTTGGTTTGCCCAACAGTTGACTGGTAGAGAACACCATCGAGTGTTAAGTCACAAAAACATAGAATTTTACTGTGCATAAAGGTTTCAATAAATAAATAAATTTGAGCTACTTTCCAAAAAAAAATACTGTTTTCTAAATTGTATTGATAAAGGCTGAACTTATCAATAATGCATCAATGTGGTAATTATAATATTAATTTTAGGCCTTCGTTGGTACAATACTCTTAAAAAAGACGACAATTACTTTAATATCATACTGTATAATTTTTAGGATGTTTTAACCAAATCTACAACTTACATATCAACCTCTTCATATAATTTTCAAAACACTGCCAGTTTGTTTACCAATTTACAGGCTACAGATAATAAAGATTATTATTATGTATTTTATTATTTCAGCCATTAGCTGTCCACTGCTGAACATAAGCCTTCCCCATAAAGGGAGTGGCAACCATAGGCTTTTAGAGATGTTTTAAAAGGAATACTACTGCCCATCCCTCGCCCTCCTTTAGTTGCTTCTTAAGACGCCCACAGGTAAAGAAAGGGTAGTCTATTCTATGTTCAGACCACACGGCGGAGGTATACATAGGTTTAATTTAACAAAAGCATGGACATTGGATGAATTCATTGAATCTTGGTTAAGCAACATTACACAGTTAACACAAAGACTTGCCTTCTACCAAAGTAGAATCACATAATTCACCCTCCACCTTATATATTTATTTTTAGTCAGTTTTGACATCAAAATAATTGTAACAATATATTTTTCTAAACAAATAATTATGTAAAAGAATAATAAAACCACTATGAAAATCTTTATAATAAGAATTTAATAGCGTGAGTTTATAATTTTTTATTAGAATTTTAAGTAGAGATGAAACGGATATCCGGTAACTATTCGGCGGCCTTAATACTATCCGGCCGAATACCGTATAACTACTATTTGGCCGTATAGGCATCCCACCAAAAAAAGAAATGTAGATAAAAAAAAATTTTAAGTAATTATTTGCTTTATATAGTTAGTCTTAGTATCACTTAAGAAATATAATCAGTTTTAGTTTTAAATTTTTAATCACACAATAGTAAATGAATGTAATGAATTAGTACTCATACTGCATTAAGGGCAAATTGTAGTGAATAAATTCTAATTTCTCTGCATTGAGAGTTAGCAAGCGGTTTCACTTTTCTTCATAAATAAGGCCAGCCTGAGAAAAGGCTTTCGCTGTATACATTGTTGCAAGGTGTTGAAAGATAGATTTTGGTAAACTTTGTTAAATTTGCATATTGTTTGGCATTAGCTGCCCACCAAGATATGACGGACTGACCAAGACTGATGGATATCTGGCTATTCGACCACATGGTTAGTCGAATATCTGGTTTCTGGCCAAACTGCTATCCATTTCATCTCTAATAATAAGCAGTACACAATTTACTACTATCATAGATAATATTAGTGTAAATTGTCAGATGTTTTGGATTGTAATCTACTTTGTTTAGTGTTGAACTAAAATTTTTCTATTTATGAGCAACTTTTTTTTAATTATAATCTCATTATATTGAGATATTTATGTGCGAGTTTACTTAGATAAGTACACCATGATGTACTTAGATGAAGGAAATGTTTAAAATCAAATAAAAATGTTTGAGAACAGCCTGAAACTAATACTAAAATACTGACAAGTAACAAAATGAACATGTGAATAAATTTATTTGGCCTGCTACTTTCTACATGTGGATTTCTTAAGAAGAAAAACCAACTAAATAGATTACTTTTAGATGGCTTATCAAGAAAGATAGATAGACAATCTTTATTGTTTCCTCCAAAAGATTACAATAGTAAATTTATTATAAATATAAACAATATCAAGATGAAATATACACCACTTTTCTGGAATACCAATGTGAAAACTGCATACAATTTTGTGCAATTGTTTTTGCATGATGTCAGAACAAACATACATACAGACATAATTTCTAAAATATACTTTTGACTTCTATTAAGATCTATTACATATATTTTTTTAATATCTTCTATGTACTAATATTGTCTCATTACAGTTTTATTATCTAAGTTTAAATAATAAAACTGATAAATGTATTGTCTTTACAGACCAAAGAAATAAACATATGAAAAATAAAATAACGGAAATAATATAATTGAGTTAAGCATGTTATATTTGTATATTAACAATACATTCTCTATTTTTTCTGAACTATGCACTACTCTCTACGAACACAACAACTATGGAAAGCAAAACATAGACACTGGCATAGGCATTGGTTATGAGCGATCTGGATGTTAGTGACCTGATGCTGATGCATGCAAGGAACATACAATACAATGGACAAAGTCAACATGCTCCCGAGCACTGCACCATCGGCACGAACCTTCTTTCTGCAAAAATAGCTCTTTCATTTTGGCTCGCTGCACGTTAAATTCCTCCTCTAATTCTCGACGCATTTGGTCCGGGGACGGCGTGATCCGCTCCCCCACCGCCTCGGCTTAAAACAGACAACAACGTAACTACCTCAAAAACGCGGCGGAAGCAAAAATTTGCTGGTCGTAGCGAAAAACACGTACCTTTCGCATTATCCACCGTTTCGCTAGACATCTTCGATTGTCAACCTCGCGGGTAATTATAATATTTAAATTATATTAAGAAACAGGAATTCTTTGATTGTTAACATCATTACAATACACAGGAATAATGATTAATAAATTGTAAAATGGAAAAATACAAATAATAAAAACAATCGTATTAGACAATCACGGAAAATGAGTTTTGACATTTTTGACGTTTACTTGACGTGGCCAATTTGACATTCATCTACGTGACAGACAAAACAAATATCTAGCGTTCAAAGAAAAAATAATATACTAGAATCGTTTCATTAATCTCAACAATTTACATTGGGGTAGGTAGACATTATAAAACATTACAACATTATTTTCATCGATCAGAAAAATGTTGCTAGAGGATGGGATTATTAGTAATGGAGAGCGAATTGCGTTCACCATTGATACCATGTCATGGATAGTGAACTTGAATTATTAAATACTATTGCCGTTTTTTATGACAGTCTGTGGGGGAGGCATATGTTTAGCAGTGAAGAAATAATGTCTGAAATGATATTGATAATGGCTACTTCGTTCAGTTTTTTTTTTAAACAAAATTCAGTTATAGTAATACTACTTGTTGACAACACAGATTTTTATAGATGAAAGTATTTTTATAATTAGTTAAAGGTTTTTTTAAGTTTTTTCATTATGTACAAACAAATTTTTTTTTTTAATCTTTTTATAAAATTAAACAACTAATTACTATTTTTATTCATATAGGTACACGGGGAACGGATTAGTACTAATGATGTCTAAGGGTTCTACTGCTAGTAGAACCTATCAGGTTGACCTCCTCGCGGGTTTTTTTTTTAATGAATGGTAATGGAATGGTAACCCCACCCACGCTATCGATATACATCGCGATTTTTTTTTAATGTGATTCAACAAAAATTGTTCACGATGGTTTCCAGGGGGAACCACGTGGAGGGAGATCTAATAGGGCATATTGCTAGCAATGGGGCTGTCAAACTCCAATGCTTTTCCCCCCTGACCTCCACGCGGTTCTCCCAGGAACCGTGGGTAATTCTTTAATTCATCACGATGGTCTGTTTACTACCCTTTGTTGATAGGTACTGCGTCAGCGTATACCAATAGTGCAGGCGTGGCTAGATTTCATTTTTACCCATTAAAAAACACATATAAATATAGTCAATTATTGACATAAAAAAAAGGTTTTAATTAATTTTTTAACAGTTGTAAATATCGTTCGATGTTTTAGCTGTTTCTCAAACGATTTTAATGAGTCTATGTATATTTTATAATTATAGGTAAGGAGAAGAAGGTAAGAAATAAACCAAAAGCTTTTATATTAAAATAAATAACTTTATTTGGTATAATCTAACTCACATTCAATTTAGCTACTCGTATGTAATTACAAAACAATTTTTATATTAATACTAGTGCGGTAAACTTATCGTACAAGTGATTGTTACCTTTGTCATGACAGTGTTTGTTATCGTCAACATTTACATCACGTCACAGTATATAATATTGAAATAAAACACATATTTATTTCAAATTACTAAGCGCCATCATCTAACATTTAAAGGCACAGACATTATCACAGTTTGATATCTATTTTTAATAGAATTTATAAAGTATATTATATGTATTATTAATATATATATATATATATATATATATATATATATATATATATATATATATATATATATATATATATATATATATATATATATATATATATATATATATATATTTACAAGATAATGAATTTATATAAATGCTATTAACATCATCGTAAATGATAGTGCAATGACGAATAGACACTTTCCTCGCTACTAGATGGCGCTTATAACAGATAATTTAGCTACTGGCCACTAGACGTCGCTAGAAGCCCTGTTTGGCATCCCTGAACTGTCTGCCTTCGGGTCGATCCTCAAGGCACGGTACTTGAACTAAATTGAAATAAATATGGCCCATGAGATGCGACGCGGACGTGTTGGTTGTTTTAAGACAATCGAAGAGCATGTCGTCGCAGGTACAGTGCGACTTGCTGTAGAGCGAGTTGTTGGTGAGGTTGTATCTCTTGGAGAAGGCCCTGACTTTGGTGGGGCAGAGGTCGTGGGTGCGGCAGCAGCGGTCGAGCCGCCGGTCGGCACCCAGATCGTGGTAGTTGGCGGCTATGTCTCCCGTTCCGCACCATTTTGTACCTGAAGAAGGCAGTAATCAAATGAGAATAATGGGGGGATAATGGATTGTTAAAAATGAGGATTAGTAGCCCCATTGTTAGCAATACACCCTGTCAGGTCGATCTCCCCGCGGTTCCCCCTGGAAACTATCGTGTTCTATTCCAAGTGAATTTATCACAATAGGCTAATTGACATGCCTTTTCATCGTCACTTATCATCCCTCACTGGTGTCCTGCTAGCGTATACCGTGAGTGCAGGCGGGATTACCATTCCATTATCATCCATTAAAAAAAATTACAATAATGAATGTAAGCTCTATATAGCGGAATAAAATACAGTTTCCAAAAAAGAGTCTGATTTTTTTTCGATCCGTTGTTGGACGCAGATGGCTTTTACAGCTTCACCGAGCGCGTGTGCAGGGGCGAGTGTGAAAGGCACTCCAAGCTCGCGAGAGGGGAAGCGATGATAAGCGTCAACTCTTACAGATGGACTGCGGTGTGTTCGCCCGAGGGCGCCCTAGTGGCTCGAACCTCAGGGCACTGCACTTCGGCCTCCGTTGAGGGACGGGGGTCGGTATATCGTGGGGGAGTCGCCGCCGTCGACGTTGGCAGACGAGAAGGGCAAGATAGTCTGATACTCTTCGTAATTGTTATTGATAAATGTATGAAAGATAAAGGTTGCAAAGTTCTAAGTTTATTTCAATGGTAAATAATAACGGAGTATTAAGTCATCAGGGAAGATATGCGAACGAACATACATTTCCCCTATTATTATTTCAGCCGACAACTGTCCACTGCTGGACATAAGCCTTTCCCATAAGGGCAGTTTTGCCAATAGTTGCCACGCTTGACAGGCGGGTTGGCAACCGTAATTAGGGTTTTAGATATGTTTTAAGAGGGACGCTACTGCCCATTCTTCTACTATGCTACATTTCTCCTAATGGTACCGCAAACATAGAATAAATGGAGCTTGCTAACTCTTTTAAATATGTTTCTTTCATGGGGGTTTTCATACATGTACCTAGGATACTAAGTCCCTCACCAGGTATGATCCCCTGCAGCAGCGTGAGGGGGCTGCCGCCGAGCAAGCCGGCGTGCGCGCCGCCGGCGTCGAGACGTGCGCGTGCGCCCGCGCCGTCCGCGCGCCACGCCGCGCCGGCGCCGCCGCTCGCCGCCGCTCCTACGCTGCCCTCGTTCTCATCGGACGCTTCCACGCCTTCTACCTGTCACCAAAAGATTTATTTTTTATGTGCTGTATATTGAGAGTTGCAAACAAGTTCTTGAGGGATTGTTAGGAATTGGGACTAGTTACCCAATTACTAGCGCACACAGGGCGTCAGGAATGACTTTCACGTGGCTCCCCTGGAAATTGTTATGCTAAATTACAGGTGTTTTCATCACTGGCCTGCCTTTTTGTTCTTACTTAACATCCTTCACTGGTGTCCCGCCAGCGTATATAGTTAGCGCAGGCGGGGCTACAATTCCATTATTACAACTTAACCGACTTGAATATTTTTTCGTTTTGTTTGTTATAAAATATTAAAAAAAAAAAATCGTTAAAAAAAGATAATATTGTATGAGAATCAATACTCCGGATTACTTTTAATAGATGGCGTTGTAGGTAACACAAAGTTTACCGGGTCATCTAGTTATTAAAATAAAAGTCATTTTAATCTTTGTAAAGTTTTTTTAATAACTATCTAATTATAATTTTATTGCATATAAAATCTTTCATATATAAAACAGACACTAATTAAGTCAAGCAGTTCTCAGGTTTCACTAACACGCTTCTTTCTTTATCATTGTCAAGTCACACAGAGCAATTAAACAGTTCGCGGAGCGAGTAATGGAAGCAATTCTCGGAGCTAGGTGCTTGTGTGGTATTGTCGACTATTGTTTCGTGTCATGTGATCTTTATTCTCACTTAGCGCATTACATTCATTTGCAAAAGAAATGCAGGATTTCTTTTTAATTACTGTATATGTTTGGTGGATTAAATATTAGTATATAGGTAGTTTGTTTTAACAATATTTCATTAAAAGTTAATCATGTTTTGTTCAATTTATCACAGACATACTCTACACATTAAATTAATGGTAACAAATCGAAAAATCGGTTTTTTTTATTTGAATCATTTTTCGGTTAAGTCAATTATACGTTTGTTTATAATTTCCTTAAGTTCTATTTTTTTATACAACTTAGAATGGCAAACAAGCTGACGGCCCACCTGATGGAAAGTGGTAACCGTCGCCTATAGACATGAGCAGTACCATGGACATAACAGAGTATACTGTTTCGCCCATGCATAACAGAGTATACTATCCCGCCAACGTATACCGATAGTGTAAGGATACCATTTGATCTTACTCCGTTAAAAGAAATAAGTAGGTATAATATATCTATAACCTATTTACCTATATTTTACCAGAAGGAGACTTTGTACAAAAGTCGATTGCTTGGGTACCTCTGTCCCATTCGTGTTTCTACCGTGAAGCAGTTGTGTTTGCATGGCTGTGTTTCGGCTTGAAGGATGGGATACGGCGTGAATTTACAGGGTACAGAGGAATAACACCTGAGTCCTCAGGAATGACAACGCATGGGGGGCATCATGGGCGAAACAGTATACTCTGTTATGTCCATGGTACTGCTCATGTCTATAAGCGACGGTTACCACTTTCCATCAGGTGGGTCGTCAGCTTGTTTGCCATTCTAAGTTGTATAAAAAAAGTCTTAGCCTTGATATCTGACACGAGTGGAATTAATTTCACGGTCCATAAATATAATTAAGCGCCTAAAGTATTTATAGTTTTTATTTTTTTTTATATCCACACGAGCAAATTATATATTTATATATAAGTCTCGAATCGATTAATATGTAGCGTGAAGGATGATATATGAAGTTATGTGTACGTATGCAGTACCATGCAGGTATGCGTAGATAAATATTTCGAATGCCAGACTTTGGCCTTAAATTAATTTTAATTCAATTTAATTAAATTCAATAGAGTTTAATCGACTCCGACTAAATTTTGATTTGCAGTTCCTACGTAACATTGAAATACCTATATAACATGAGTTGTTTTTAATGAATGATAATGGAATGGTAACCCCACTCGCGCTATCGGTATACACCGGTGGGACACCAGTGAAGGATGATAGGCGAGGATGAAGCAGGTCAGTTAGCCCATCATGATGAAATCATCAGAAATTAACCATGACAGTTTCCAGGGGGAACCGCGAGAAGGTGGAAGAGGTGGAGGAGGACCATAGCGTTTTCACCCATCAAAAAAAAATTCAAATGGGTCCCTTTAGGACAGATTAAATATTGTATTTAACATTCACATGAATATTTATGCGTGTATTAATACAAGTAAACAAACGAATATTTGACTGACATTAGAATGGTAAAAACAACGACGTTTGACGGCCAATATTAAATAATATATTAGGATGCTAAAATTATACAGGTTTATACACGGTGACGAATACATAATGACTACACGTGGAGAAAAAAAAAAGATTTCCTAATCGTGAACGACGAAGTTAGTAGTTTAGTCACAAACTTAAAAGTGAGTTTTTTTATAAAACTTAGAATGGCAAACAAGCTGACGGCCCACCTGATGGAAAGTGGTAAATTAAATAATTGGAAATTAAACCCAATTGAGTACCTTCTTTTATTTTGAAATCGATTGAAAATAGTAATTAAACATTCAGTTTGGTTCCAATTTAAGGCAAATTGGTTTTATTATTTGTTTTTATTATATATGAAATTATTGTTAAATACATATAATTTTATTTTTATATTATTACTGTATAGCTCTGACATAGAATGGGGTTACCCATTTTTCTTTCCGTAAGTATCGTAAGAGGCGACTGCTCAAGGTATTAGTCAAGAATGAGCAGTAGTATCCCTCTTTAAACATCAGCAAAGCCTAATTACGGTTACCAAATAGCTTGATAAGCGTGACAACTATTGGCAAACCCCCCCCCCCCCCTTTTTGGGGAAGTTCAGTAGTGGACAATTAACAGATGATATGGGTAAGGGTAGGAAAATATGTGTGTATATGAAGAGAATTGTACTTTGTTCTAGTAAACTGCAGTTTAGGCAACAAAGTGCAGAGCTGTTATATATATAAAAGCTATTAAAGCAAACATATGTTTATTTATAGTTATGTAACATATAATTTAACTAAAATAAAATTAATAGTTATCGTGTAATAGTAAATATCCGACTCGAAGTACCAATGATCCTTCGAGCCGGATAACGGCCCACCTGACAGAAAGTGGTAACCGTCGCTTATAGACGTATAATATCAAGAAATACACTGTGACATGCATGGTAACCCCTCATGTGTTGCTATTTTGAGGAATAAGGGTTATACTTTAGATCATATAGGTTCTTTCAGGGTTAGTCACCTGTGCGCGTGTCCGTGGAGTTACCTGCTGGCACTGGCTCATCAGCTTGATCATCTGGTGGAAGGTGACCCCTAGTGGCCGATTGATGCGACTCAACTGCCGAAGGAGCCGGCTCGTGTCATCCTCGTCGCTGGAATCAAATAATAATATATTAATTAATTCAATTTTCATCACATTGAGTTATTTTCTACTACTAACTCTCGTCCACAATTATACTTTGCCGTAACTTCGTATACGTAGAGTTTTGGGACTTGGTAACCATGTTTAGACGGAGTATTAAGATAAAACCTGCGCCATATTTTACGTTAGACTTTAAGGATATAACAGTGAAAACCGCATGAAATTTCGTACAGCAGTTTTCTTATGGTGCCGACATGGAACAGAGACATAGATAGACAAGCGGACAAAAAATCAGAAAATTATTATTTCGGTATCCATTATATGGCTTTCATATATTTTTTTATAACACTGAGGTGGTAAACAAGCATACGACCAACCTGATGGTAAGCGGTTACCGTAAAATTTAATTAAGAAAAATCTGTGTAAGGGGTCATAGATTTCTCTTAAATTAATGTCTTCTATGTACAGACACAGGCTATTTATAGTTTTATTATATATAAAACTATAAATAGCCTGAATATATATATATATATATATATATATATATATATATATATATATATATATATATATATATATATATATATATATATATATATATATATATATATATATATATATATATATATACTCAGCAAGGTCGTAACAAAGTCTCGTAAAAAGAAGGAAGCTCCCAATTAGTTTGTATTTTTTTCTGTATTACGCGACTTTTTTGTTAGCTTTGAATTGTTTTTGGATTTGATTGGATTTAATTCCCTGTTGGTTGTGTTCGTTATGTAAAATTATAAATATTTGTTATACAACAACAGTTGCGTCTGATCATATAGGTGAGAAAAGCAGCAGGATATATGTAATACAAATAGTACTTGGTTTCTATAATAATGAAAATCAGTTTACCAAAAAAAACATGGATCGAAAAACGGCAATAAATTCATCGGTCGATCTATTTACCTGTATTAAATTAGTACGGAAGGTTCGAAATTTCTTGTCGTTTATGAGTTTCTGAATTACGAAATTTCTATCCTAATATATTCCTATAGCATGAGTGTGTAAATATTTTTTTTTAGCCTCCCATTAAGTGCAACTTGTTCCCGGATATTAATTTCCAGATTTTTTAGCTAATTTAATTTCCTTCTAAGTTTTCCTCACTCTTTACTACCACGTTCCCTTCATTCCCCATTTATCATTCCACTTTTTCCCATTTGTCGTAACGATCCTATTGTTTTATTTCAAATTTCCGTAAATTTTTGTCCTCAGTTTGAATCATTTACGTAAATAATTTACGTACGATTAATTACTCCGATTACACTCTATATACAATGCCGTATGTAAAGTCCAAAGTAAAAGGGGGTAGGGGGGAAGGGATTGTTAATAATGGAGATTAAAAATCCCATTGCTAGCAATATACCCAACCAGGTCGAACTCCCCGCGGTTCCCCCTGGAAACTATCTTGGTTAATTCCTGATGAATTCATCATGACGGGCTAACTGGCCTGTTTTCATTTTCATCTATCACCCTTCACTGGTGCTCCGTTAGCGTATCCCGTTAGCGCAGGCGAGGTTACCATCCCATTTTCACCCATCAAAAAAAAAAGTAAAAGGAGTTTCGAAAATCTTAATATTTGTTCATCGATTGTTTGTGTTCATAGCACAATTAAATAAGTTTTGTATGCTAGTAGGTTCTGGTGAAGAGTGTGAAATTTTATGTTCGATCCTTTTTTTAAACAAAATAAAGTTATTTGTATTTGTATCGGCTTTTGATTAACGAACACGTTTGCGCATAAAAAAAAATAGAAAATTGATAAGGAAATCACAATTAATTTAAGCTAAAAAATAGTTTCACATTTGTAATTGTAGTGTTAACTACACATATATGAGACAAAATTGACACCAAATTAATATGCGTTAAAATTATGTAATAGTGGGTTATTGAACTTGTCCCACCGCGGCGAGTGTCACTTTCACCGCGAGACGCCACACGTAACGCATGTAGGTCTGGGACGCCGGACGCGGGACGTAGTACGCGGGACAAGACTTACAGACCTAGTAACTAGATATTTTTTTAATAGGTTAAAATGGTATAGTAACCCTGCGTTATGGGTATACACTGACGGGATATCAGTGAAAAATGACAGGAGAAGATGAAAGCAGGTCGTTTAGCCCATCATGACGAATCTAAGAAGAATTAATTACGATGGTTTCCATAAAGAACCGTTTGGAAGTCTACTAGATAGAGTACTATTAATAATGGGATTGTTAGATCCCATTACTAACAATCCCTTCAAAACTTAAAAGCTGACCGTCCACCTGATGGAAAGTAGCATGATTACATCGCCTATAGACATGAACAGTGCCATGGACATAACAGTTTCACTTTTAGAGACAACTGTTTGGCTCATGATACATTTCACGTTGCCATTCTTGAGGACTAAGATGTTTTACGTCTGGATCTTGTAATTAGTAAATAAATGGATATTTTCAACATATCTACTATTTCTATTGTTTAGGAATGGCACCTAAAACCTCATCTTTATTATATAATAGTGTACATAGAATACCTAACAATCGTACGATGTAGGTAACCTCTATTGGTTGTTATGCAAGCTAAGCACTAAGCTAAGCAAATAACTTAATTCAATTGTGTACTGTCATCGAGTGCAGTAGGTTACAGCAATGCAAGCATTATGGCTTTGTTTACAAGGTTTTTACCTTGGTGACAACTGTCTAAATGCAATATTTTTTTTTTGGCAAACGACTTAAACTTCTATCTCTTTTTTTATACAACTTAGAATGGCAAACAAGCTGACGACCCACCTGATGGAAAGTGATAACCGTCGCCTATAATATACTATAATAACAGAGTATACTGTTTCGCCCATGATACCTCCCATGCGTTGCCATTCCTGAGGACTCAGGTGTTATTCATCTGTACCCTGTAAATTCACGCCATATCACACCCTTCAAACCAAAACATAACCATGTAAACACAACTGCTTTATGGTTGAAACACTAATGGGACAGAGGTACCGAAGTAAACGACTTTTGTACAAAGTCTCTCTCTGGTACATTCTCTAAATTTTGTTCTGTAATTAATTTAAAAAACACGACTGTCTTGTTATACGAGGTCTGTCCGGAAAGTTCGTATAAAAGTGTTCTGGAATGCGAGAAAGAGGAGTGGGGAGGCCAGGTAAGCGCAGGACCCCTTCCTTATGTCCCTAACAATGCTTCAGTTCTGGTCTGACCGCCGTGCGGTGCGAACTGGCTTGTCACGCCATCTGTGAAGTTACCTCTTAACGAAACCCCGTCGGCATGGATCCCGCTTCCGTTGAAGAGCAGCGCGTCGTAATCAAGTTTCTCTCGAAACTCGGCAAGAATGGCCGTGAAAGCAAAGAGTGGAAGACATCCGGGGAACCACGAACAAAAAAATCAAGAAAATCCCGCTCAAATGTCAAACAATGTTGATTGTTTTTTTCGATGTTCGGGGGATTGTCCATCAAGAATTCGTCCCTCCAGGCCAGACAGTTGATGGAAAATTCTACGTCGATGTGCTCAGACGCCTCAAAGCTCGTGTGGCACGAGTTCGTCCAGAATTGGCGCGAGAGGGGCGTTGGATTCTTCACCACGACAATGCCCCTGCCCACACCTCTCTTTAGTTGTCCGTGAGTTTTTGAGTAAAAATTCCATTACGGTGACCGAACACCCCCCTATTCGCCGGATTTGGCCCCGTGTGACTTCTTCTTGTTCCCAAAAACCAAATTGGTACTTCGGGGGCGGCATTTGGGGGACATAAATGAGATAAAAAAAAGCTACGACGGAGCAGCTGAGAAACCTACAACCAGAGGACTTTCAAGGAGCCTTCTCACAGTGGAAACGGCGTTGGCACAAGTGCATTATGTCACAGGGGGAGTACTTTGAAGGGGATAAAATTGATTTACCTGAATAATTGTAAAATAAAATTTTTAAAAAACTTTTATACGTACTTTCCGACAAACCTCGTAAAAGTAACAATTGAAAAAAACATTTCTAGTATCACTCGAAATGATAAAAATTCTAACGAAGAGGGTACTCAAGAGATTGTTAGTAATGGAAACTAAGGCCCCATTGCTAGCAATATACCCAACTAGGTCGACCTCTGCTTGGTCTCCCTTAGAAACCATCGTTCTTAAATGCAGGTGTATTTATCACGATAACTAACTAACAGATCTGGTTTCATCCTCACCTGTCACCCCTCACTGATGTCCTGCCAGCGTATACCGTTAGCGCGAGCTGAGTTATTTAATTATCATCCATTTTAAAAATTAAAAAGTAAGAATTGTAACAATGTTCCTTACATCCAAATCTATTCAGACATTTAGAAATTATAAATACATGAACCTTGAGAATGTTACATTCATTTTTTGGTCTATATTTTCTGAAAAATAGGAGAAATTATTAATAAAATTATTGTATAATAGATGTATGGGTATTCAGTACAGTTGTGTTTCAGTGAGAAAATGTAAGTAAAATAATATATGGATATAACCTTCCTACAGGAATAAATTGCTGAAGCACTTTGTACAACAATCTTATGAACATTAAATTAACTCTAATTGTCATAATATATATATTTTTTTAATTTAATTCGCTCATAATCTTATTTTCCGATATTGCTCACAACTTAGATTACATGTTTATTTTTGTTATTTACTTAAATTTCTTACACTGTATAATTATGTTAAAGTGAATGCTGTGAATACCTATAATAGGCATGTGCATTAATATTGTATTGCATTTAATGTTGTTATATCTATATGTTATAATGCAATATGCTGTTGGTGTTCCTTAAATAAATAAATAAACCTTGTTTGGTTATGTATGTAACTTTATATGTACGAGTATTGTTCAATGAAATGCAAAGCGGTTTGTTGACATATCTTAGCCGCTACCATTTACATATTTGACAGTAGCCTGCGAAGATGATGTCCGTGTAAAGAGTAGTTACTCGAGGCAAGTACCTGCGCCCCCGTAGGGG